TTTAAAACACATTGACCAATGGAACGGAATAGATGGTCCAGAACTAGGTCTAATAGGATATGGAATTGAATAGATATTAAATGAGTATCTTATATTAGTGGGTAAAAAATGACCGTTTTAAGAGGTGATGTTGTGATAAATACACAGACATATGAAAACAATGCAATGGATCAATTTCTCATACTAAACACCATAATAAATTCCAAATGGATTGAAGATTTAAAGTGAAAAATGAGTCCATATCAGTATTGAAAGAATGGATTAATTCTTTTAAAATCTGGGAATGAATAAATACTGAAAGCAAAAAACAAACAAACAAACAAAAAAACTGGAAGACAATTGCAATTTACATCATAAAGTCTTAATGTGTCTAACATGTAAAAACCTTCCCACAATGGCAATGAAAGAGATCAAAATCTCTATAGAGAAATGGGCCAAAGCTAAGGGACAAGCACTCCTAGATATTGATGGTAAGAATACAAAATATTACAACCTCTAAAAGATGAATTGGGCAATATAGAGCAAAATTACATATGTATTACCCTTTGACCTAGCAATCCTATGTCTAATATCCCAAAAATATTCTAGGGAAAAAGCACGAAATACACATGCATAAGTCTTTGTAACATAAATTGTAAGAGCAGAAGACTGGAAATATTTGGGACTGGTTGAATAAACCATGGTACAGCCACACAATGGTATACCATGTATCTGTATAAAAAAGTATTTCTCAGAAATAGTTCCATGTACAATTATGGAGTGATCTGTAGAATATATTATCAAGTGGTAAAATCAAGAGGAGACATTTGTATATAATATCTGCCATTTATCTGTAAGAGGTGACAAGAAAAAAATGCATGAATATTTACTTACATAAAAATATAGAAGGATAAACCAATATCATTTTGAAAAACGCTTTTGCCCTATTATAAAACGAAATAAAATTTTAAAAATCAATTCCTAAAAATCAAAACAAAACAAATAAATATGTTTAACTGACAAAAACACAATAAGAGGAATAATTTCAAATAACTTTAGAATACAATGACGACTATATTATAGTGAAATATTCTCAAGGGATAAAATGGTTCAAAAATGTTTTCAACTGTTTTTAGGAAACGAAATATTAATGGATGTGTTGGTATTATAATTCTTTGAAATATATGCATATTGGATGTATGTACACTGTGGGATAAAGCAAATTAACAATTATGTTGATGCCACTGGGAACTGGAATTTTCTGCATGGCAGTGTTTCCAAAGTAAAATTGATGAGGCTAAGTAAAACCTGTGGTCCTAAATTTAAATTGGACTTTTCAGTATTAATTTAGAATTCATTTAATGGATGTATATGTATTTCCTTGTTATATCTACTTAGAAAGCCTAGAAACATTGAGTTAAGAGTGTGCAACTGTTAGACCCAAACTGTGGTCTCTAAAAACGATTTCTCACTGAAAGGAACCATGGCTCCTTAGAGAAATGGCTTTGTCTGGGACTGAGAACGGAACAAGTGTGGAACACCATCCCATATCAGAAAATCACAACAACAAAATTAGGAAATGATCATACTACAGTAGAGTCAAAAGAACTTAGGAATCAACTTGAAGATGGCCAAAGACAGACAATTTTAGTGTTAGAAAATGATTGTTAATTTTGTTAAATGTTGGCAATTGTGATTTTGAAGATAAGCATCTATTTACTGGAGATGCACGCACAAGTATTCAAGAGTAATGTAATCACGATGCAAGAAACCTATAACAAAAACGTCCAGTATGAAAAAAAGATAGGGATAAATTAAATATGGGAAAATGTTAACAGTCTTTGAGTGTGGATTGTAGATATATGAATATTTGTTGCATATTTCCTTCTACTTCGTATGTTTCAAATGTTTAATAATAAACATTTTAAAATGTAACGTTAAAGCAGCCAAGTGCTCTCTTTGTGCCTCTTCACTTAATATAAGCTTGAATTCTCTCTTGGCCATACTTTTTCTAAGTTTCACAATTTGAGTGTAATAATATGATAACACTGAAAATCAAGAGAAACAACTTGAAAAGTCAGTAACTGGTTTGCAACTCACTGCAGAAAACAAATGCAACTTTAACATCACACCTTGCTTTTGATTTTTAAAAAAATCAACTTGGTTATCACCATTACTCATCAGGCTTAGCTCAAGTGACTTTGGTAATTTCAAAAATACATGACTAAAGAATGAAAATGTAAGGGTATTGGCTATTTTCTACCTTGGTTTGTGAGTTTCTAAAGATGAATTTTTAAAAGTGGTTTGATTCAAAAATATCATTATAGAAAGTGTGTGATCTACTTACATGCTTACTTCCAAGAGGACAGCCCTCAAATAAATGCTTAATTTCGTGTATATTTGTTAAAAAGTGCCAGTTATGGGTCATATCTTATTAAAACCTTCATTCATCTTTTAACTTCATTCTGTACACAGTGCACATGATCATTGAATAGAAATAAACAAAGTAACAGAATCTTGAAAGTTTTAAAGTTAATTCTTGTGCTACACATATTTCTAAAGAGCCATTTGTCCATTCATTCATTTTCACAGGCTGTTTGAGATAATTATTCTAAAGTCAATTTCATTATAGAGGGCATTGTTTCTAAGGCATGTTTTGGAGTTTATATTTGTCTATATTAAGTCTGGTTGCAAGTGGTATAAAACCCAGTATAAGTGGCCTTAGTCTATTTCTTTCCAAGGTCACCCTATGACCAAGATGGCTTCTACTCAGGCCTATGTGCAAGTAACCACAGTCAAATGGTCTTCTAGAGAAAACTCTAAGTCTAAGGCACTGACTTACTGACCTCTGTGCTCTGCTATTGTCTCATCTCTCATCTTAATAGTGTTCACTTGGAGAACATCTAAAGCAAAAGGCTTGGATCAGAAGGTGGAACCCGCAGTGCCATTTCTGCTGATGTTTGAACGGCAGTGCCCAGCCTCACCTCCTGCTAAGACTACTACTCAAAGCTGTTGCTCCTGGCGTTTGCAGTTAGGTGCACAGAAGCAACTGGCCTTCTCAACCAACAATTCCACATTAGAGAGCTTTTAGTCAACTTAGACTTCAGCCTGTCCGGTTCTGGAGCTGGCAGCTGCAGCAAGAGCTTCCTGGTTGCATAGATTTCTTTCTGGTTGTGGCAAGATCAACAGCTCTATTTGGCAGCCCAGGTTTTTTGTATGACTTTGGAAGACATCCCTGGAAGAGGAGCCTAGAGTCTGTTTCTTCATCTCTCTAAATAATTCTGTAATGATTTCTGTTTAAACTGGCTAGAGAAAATTATATTCATTGTATCTAAACCATGACCTCCTGAGAGGTATTCTGTTTTGTTAAGTAAAATGTTACGTAAGGCCTCAACATACAACATGGATAAAAGCAGTGTGGCTCTAGTTGTGGTATGTGGAGGGTGTGGGAGCAGTGAGGTGAAGGGGAAGATCCAGGAGCCCAGCTCCCATGTTCCCCAATTTTCCATTCCACCATCTAGGATGGTCCCTGGGTCACAACCCCAAGACTCCCAAGCCACTATTTGAAAGTCAGTTAACATGTTCACTATTAATGATCAAGCACACACACCAAATTGTAGCAATCATGTAAATGAGGTATGGCATTCTCTGGGTGTGTCTGTGCACCCGCGAGTTATATGCTAGAAGGAGATAAACATTTTCAAAAGCCTCACACAGAAATCTAGGTGTTGGTCTTAAGCTCCCAGCCTGGACTGTGATCACTATCAGCATGGCATGCAGGTGGGGCTGGAAGGCCCTGAGGCCTGCCCATGAGTTTCCTGTTAGGTCTGTGGCTTGGTCACTCTTTGAAGATTGTATTGCTTACGGTCGCACTGCTCAGAGCAGCATCTGCTCAGACAGATGGCTTCTGCTAACCCTGGGTCCTCTCCCTCACAGCTGAACTTCAGACCAAGGTGACAGGTTAATTCCTCTGAGCATTTCCAGCTATGATTCACCTTGGTTTGAGGAAATGATTTTGCTAATGTCCTCTCTTTGGACAACTGCCTCCTTTCTGCGCCTCGCTGAGAGCCCCAGCAAACCCAACTGGCCTGTCATTTGCCTCAACACAGGCCGGGCTCCTAGTAGATGCCGGGGGTTCCAACTCTTTGTATCTCAGCAGACGATGCAGTGGGCGGATGTCCTCCATCGCCTGTGCTCTTTCACTCTGCACTGAACTTGAATGCCTATTTTTTAATGGCTTATAAGGAATCCTGAACATCCCTCTCATTCTCTTTTCCTCCTCGAAGCCAGTCCTAGGCAGCCTGCTTCTTCTCCACAGGCCCCTGCCCTAGGCCCGCTTAGTTTAAATTGTTGGCCCCAGAAAAGTGCCTGCAGCCTCCTAGATGCTCATCTCTAAGAGGAAGCCGTACGCCGTCCTGTGCCAACCTGGTCAGGCCACTCGTGTGCGACTGTGGCCAAGTCCCTGGAGTTACCATGCCTCAAGTTTCTGGGTTTGGAATATGTGGGGCCTAAGGCTTCTCTCTGCTTTGAAAGGATACAGCTCTAATGAGTAAATCCTAGGACATGACAGACATGTAGGAGGTGCTTCTTCACATGCCCTAGAGAGGTAGTTGTACTGATTCTCTGAAATAGATTTCACAGTTTAAGGGCATCTGAACCATGGAAAAGAAAGCTGTTTTATTCCTGAAAAGTTATTTGTTGGTCCTGGTTGGGGATGTTTAAACCAGAATTTTAAAATATGCCCATTAATTATCTGACATGTGAAGACCCTGTGTTTAGTACTGAGTGGGCTTGTGAGAAACAGAAGGGAATTATTTCGCTCCCGGATGGAAGGTGTGAAACAAGAATGTAGGTGCAAGGCAATTTGACATTTAAAAAGAGAGAGGTGCACGAGTACCTTTTGAATGGCCCATATTCTATTTAAACAGGTAGGAGTCCACATTGAGAACGAGGAATTGGAATCTTAAAGTAAGTGAAAAAGACGTCATGACATTTCAAAAATAAAGGCATTAGACTAATGGTTCATTAATGTATTTCAACATATTTTATGCATTTTAAAGCACACATCTAATGTATACATTTAACACATTTAACTTGAAATGCATTTAATACAAAACCTATTTCAAGTATTTTAAAGCGAGTATAATAAAAGAGAAAAGCAAAATCATTCTATGTATCAGAGACTATGCAATAGCAATGAAATCTATTTTGATTATATATGTTCACTAATATGTTTTCACACATAAAATATGAGCTATTAATTAAATTATTTTACCCTTTCTAGCCATCCAGTTGGTGCACAAAATTGTAAGCACTACAAACATGAAATCACATTCTTACACAATCTCACTCTCCTTTGGTTTTCAGTAGTATCTGCTACATCTGTTTGAAACAGTCTCTGCTTTAAAGTTTTGTAGAACATTCATGTTGCTCCCATGTGTTCTCATCAGCCTTCCAAACTCCCGGTTTCAGTAACTTGGTGATTTTCTTGAATAGCTATTACTTTTGAGATCATCAAGAAGGCTCCCAGTGCTGGGGTCCATTTAGGGAGTAAGACATGCGTCTTCCAACATCAAAAGAGGCAGATGTTCAATGGAGAGATATCTTTTGCTCTGGATAAGCTTCTCCAATATGCTTCTCTATGTGTGCAAACCTCCTCAAATCAAAACTGCCTTCCTCCCTAGGTCTGCTTCCCTTCCCTGCTCTGTAGCTTCCATTAGTCCACCGCTAAATAATTGATCTAAGTAATCATTACTAATGATAATAAAAATAGTCATGGTAACACTGAGAGAGTGCTGAGTTTGGGCCAGGAACCACTGCAAGTTCTTTACTTATATTTATTCACTTAGTTACCCCTGGGAGGTAGGTACAATTATTATAAATTCTAATTTCACAGATGAAGAAACTGAGGCACTGAGAGGTTGGATGAGGTTCCAGAGGCCACAGAAGTAAGTAGCAAACTCAGAACTGGAGCTCAGGATGGGCTGCACAACCCATCTCTTAACTGCCACACCATGCTGCCTTCATGCTAAGGGCATTTTTAATATGTAATTTTTAAAAACCAAGCAAGTAACTATCAGTTTTTTTGCTATTCAATGGCTAATGCAACCTGGCAAACATTTTGATACAAACATTCACACAAAATCAACCAATGTTTTCTGTTCTTGTGATAGTTTGCTAAGAATGATGGTTTCCAGCTGCATCCATGTCCCTACAAAGGACACAAACTCATCCTTTTTATGGCTGCATAGTATTCCATGAAGATAAGAATTATTAAAGATGCTTTGTCAGAATCAATGTAAGCCAGGAGACATTGGAAGAACATTTTTAAAGTACTGAATGAAAAATATGTGCCAACCTGAAATTCTATGTCCAGTTAAAATGTTTTTCAAAATAAAGGTTAATAAAGGCTTGTCTCCACACACACACACACAAAAATCAACCAATGTTTCAGACCATCAAAAGTGAAAGGCCCAGATAATTAACTAAATTAGAATTTGTGTGTCTTGTGAAAGATAAAAATCTATTCTGGGGTCCTTTTAAGAAGTTCCCATAAATAGATCCACATGAGCTTTCGAGAACCGTTGGCTGCAACTGTGGCCGTGATAAATTAAATACATCCTGAGGCTGAGGCCCTGCAGGCTCTGAAGGCAGCCCTGCCAGCCCCTCCTCCCACATCCCATACACAATCCAATCCATGATGTTAGGGAGTGAAAGCAGCATTTCAGTTACTCCTCACCCACTGGTGCCTAGAAAATGCCTCTTCATGAACTTAAAATCCCCTCATTCAAATTAAGTACTGGCATTAAAACTCTTCAAGATGCGCCCTTTTTGTAGGGCACAGGTTATTTTGCATCACGCCCGGCTTCACACTTGCTGAATATGGGATTGAGTAAGAGCAGCTGCATCCAGTTATGAAAGAGGGAGAAAAAGAAGAACTCCATTTCTTTTGAATTCCAGGTCTTCTGAGAGCACGTGACCACAGCCCACAGCGCAATCTTTAGTCTTATTCCCACCAACCTAATGACTAGTTCATCTTCAAATTGTGAACAGGATTTTTACAGAGTTAAATATTTTGAGTCACAGCCTTTGTTATGAACAGGTTCATACGCTCAGTCCCCAGAGTATCTTGAGTTCTATTTGCCATTCAGTGTTTCTGAAGATTAAGACTCTGAAAGAACAGGCAAGACTTCCGATTCGTCTCTACCTGGCTTGGCTGTTTTTGCAGGCATTAAGTAAAGAAGATTCTTCCAGAACCTTGAGTTATAAGAAAGAGACTTATCGGCCTTCCATTTCAGAACTCTGTGAGATTTCAAAAGCTTTAGTGATTGGGGCAAGAATGTGAAGTCAGTAACAGGTGTAAATTCAATTAAGATTATTTTAATTTTTCTTTCCACCAATGCTTCATGAAGTCCACTTTCAAGTTCATACCTGACCTCATTAGACATATAACTTTTACTTAGGACAATGATTAGTCTTCGGCTTTTCTCTATCAGTGAGTGGACTTCATCAACAACAGCTGAAAAATGCAAGATAACCCATATTAATTTAAGATAACTGAAAGGGGAAACATGAGATAAAAGTCATTTTGCACAGTCCTATTTTATATGAACTCCTAACCTCACTAATAAGTTTTTCTTTAAGACAAACCATTTGTTCTCAATTTTATATGCTTATTAAAAACTCTCTAGGTAACAATAATAATGAATATCTACTTAGCACTTATTCTGTACCATACTTTATTTTAAATGATTTTTTGGTATATTAACTAATGTAATCATCATAATAGCCTACAGAGAAGATATTGTTATCACCGCCATTTAACGGACAAGGAAGCCAGAGCACAGAGTGGTTAAGTAACCTGCTCAGAGTCACACAGCTAATAAGTGGCAGACTCAGAATCTGAACCTAAGTGGAATATATTTCATATTATACTATCCTGCTTCTCCTCAAGCATAAAAGAGCATGCTAAAATCAGAATTTAAAGATTAAAAGACAAAAAGGCACAACAAAACAAAACCATCCATTATTTTAGACCAGGGGTTGGCAAACTTTTTCTGCAAAGGGCTAGGTAGTAAACACGTTAGGCTTTGCAGGTCATGCTGTCTTTGTCACAACTACTCAATTCTGTTGTCACTCAAATGCAGACTCAGGTAACAGGTAAACCAATGTGTGTGGCTGTGTTTCAATAAGCGTTGCAGGTGTGATGGAACCTGTGGCTGGTAAATTGTCAACCCTTGTTCTAGATCTCTCACTGTTCTCAAATAGAGGTTTAACCAAACCTAATTACAACTGAATATTTGATCATTATTTTTATTTATGAATTAAGAATAAACCTATTTTCAAAAAAGACCTCTAGAAAACAACAAAAATATAGTAAAATAGATACATGGCCCAGAATAAATGCTTTCTAAGTAACAATATGCCGTCTTAGATGCAAAGAACTGTTACCCAAAAATACCACAATGTATGCATCTGATAATCTGGCATATTTTTTTGACAAGTTGTTTATTACTAAACAGTAGTGTAAGTTGGCAATATTTTCCTTTATAAATTGGAATATGGTGGGGGGGGAATGTAACTATTTCTTTCTCACTGCTACATCTTTGATGTCCAGTTCAGAACTTGGCACAGGAATAGTATCCAATAAATATTAGATTAATAAATTAATGATGGTAATAATAAAACATTTGTTGTTTTTTAAGCATCAGTATCCAGAATAATTTGACACCAGATTTTAAATGTTTGTTCTGGAAGACTTCAGAGAAAACCTAAAAATGTTACTCATTTAAAAAAAAATTTAACCGTAATTTGCTTCAATATATGCACTATGGCCATTTGTATTCCTATGTTAATAAAGAAAACATTGAATTTCATAGCTATGATCTGACGGGAATCACTGCTTTCCTTTTATTTTTTTTCCTTTACAGTTTTCACATTTTCTACTTAAATTTCGTTACCAATGTCAACACAATATAAATCGTGCATTTTCTAGTAATAATTAACCTGTGTTTATTTCTAGTAAGAGTTACTAGTGAGGATTAACTAGTCCACACATCACATGTGAAATTTGGAACTGCTACTGTGGTACAGTCTCACCGTGGATCATTTCTAAATAAATGCTTCATGATAACGCCAGCTCTGCACCCGGTTCTGAAAAGGAAATGCCCTCTCCCTTTCCCCAACGTTTCAGAGAACCTTGAAGCACAAAGAACACAACCCAAGAGAAGAGACTATTGGAAGCTCGGTAGTTTGTTTTCTCACTATCAATTGTTGACTCACCTGGTTATTTCTGGCTTAAAGGACCTTATTCATTTGTTTTTAAGGAAATGGGATAGCCATCTGGGAGCTAGCTCAATCCTTTTAAAAAAAGAAACTATCTCGAATATTTTTCTGTCTGGCATTCCGTCTTACCTCCTCCAGGCACTACATCCCTTTCAAATATGCATAACTTATACCCAAAATGTTTCTCCAACACCCTGGGCAAAATCTCCACAGCAAAGGTGTGCTCCTCTCCATTTTCAGGTCGGCATTCTTTTAAGTAAGACACAAAAGCATCATATGTTTTTCCATCTAGGAGGTAAGATTGACTCTTTTAATTCATGTGTAAATTAAATGTTGTTTAAGTACAAATTTAAGTAACTGTCATAAGTAATTAGTATAGATTCACTGAAAAAGAAAAATTACATATAAAGTTGTTTATATTTAAACCTCCCATGCTAACCAAGCAACCCATTAGTCAATGCATTTTTAAGCATCTACTTTAAGATCCCACTGCTTAACACCATAGAAGAATAGACAGACATATGAGCCATAGATGTGGGCATTAAAGGAACTTAAGTCTTTAAGTTCCTTAGAAGGCCAAGAGCCCAAAGGTGCCCTCATTCCAGGAGTGGAAAAAAAATCTCACCCTGGTTTACTCATATCACTTAATTCTACCACCATCACAATTTCTACGCTCAAAGAGACCCCCAAGAAGGTGAAGAGAGAAGCAGAGCAGTTTACACCAGAATGTGGGGAAAAACAATAGAGGAAAATGAAATAATATGCTATTGGAAAACATGCTATATTTTTAAATATTATAGAATATAGATGTCAAAAGGAAAACTTCTGATCTATTGATGATTTTCACTGATGATAACATCTGCTCCTATTTAATTTCTGACAATGGAGTAGTACTCAGATGGCTAACAGAACAAATTTAGGAGGAAATGTCTCCTAAATAACAAAGACCATGCTTCTAACTGGGTAATTAAAACATGATACCACTCTCTCTTCTAGCTTCATCCAATCTATTTTAAAAGCAAAGCAGGTGCATGCAACAACTTGGAAAAAGTTACAAACAACAGATTAGCAGAAGAAAAATAGCATAACAACAACAACAACAACAACAACAACAAAACTAACAAAACTCACAGACAAAATAACCTGGTCAGAGAATAAAGAGTGATCCTGATGGACATGCTTTCTGAAAGGAGGAAATTTTGAGTCGGGTCCTAAAAAATGCAATGGATTCTAATTGAGATCTGTAGAGAAAAAAGGAAAACAGTGGGGGAATGGTCTACATTTATCCCATGACAATTATTTTGATGGCAGACAGGTAAGATTTATGCATGGTATATTATTGGGATTAATGAATTTGCTACAGAGTTAAATGCTACATATGATTGCATCCCTTATTAAAATCTAATAGGATAAAACCATTCTAGATCTATGTCTCTTATGGTGCCATCATTTATGCTCAACAGCCCAGCCTGACATCCTCCATAGCACTCATGGTCACCAATCAACACTTTCTGCTTCTGGCAAAAGATTCTTCAGTTCTACCTACAGCATTCTGTTCAGTAGTTTGGGTTAGAACCTATTGTTCATTTAAAGCAATTGCTTTGCAGAGTTGCATGCATTGAAAGAGGAAAAATGTTGGTAAAAATTTCAGGCTTACATAAATATCAAAGGTATGAAATGTTGGTAAAAATAAAAACCAGTTATTAATCAGTAAGTAGGTACCCCACATACTTTTCTTAAACTGCTATCAAATATAACTACCTACTAGTTAAGTAAGAGGTAGTGCTTCCACTAGGATTGTTACCGTGTCAGTGACAAAACAGACACCAGTATGTAAGACAATTAAATGAGCACACTTTTTTAAAAGGCATAATTTTCTTATGATGTAATGGATTGCAATAAACTGGGAAAACAATTTCATCAAATATGGGTTTATATTACATGCAATATAGCTTTGTTCTTACCTATGAAAAATTAGCTTTTCAAATGTTAATTGCTTTCAAATTCCTTATTTTAAGCAATTCTTGTAATATAAATCTGCTAATTTTATTAAAATTTATTTTAAATCCAGGTAGTAAAAGGTTTAGTGGATTTGAAAATTGACAAAGTATACGAAAAAAAAGGAATTTGAAAGCTAATGGTAATTTTTTTATTCTCTATGTTCAAACATAAATGAAAATTATAAAGGAAATTATAATTCAAATGGATATTTGGGACTTCAAGGAGTAAGTTAAACAAATGTTCCTCAAACTATGCTTGGTGAATGACCATGTTTTAATTTAAATTTGCCTTCTTTTGTTGTTGTTGATTGATTAGTTTCATTTCCAATCCTTCACAAACCAATACTGAACACTTTCTTAGATATTGCAGCAGTATTAAATTGTGAAAAAAGTTTTTATTTTCATAATTATATCTCCATTTCTGTCTTTCTCATGGACTGCATTTGTTCATGGACTATAATTTAATGGAAGTTATTTAGAGCATGTCTCTAAATGTCTCTGTGCAATGCCATATTGACAGTTAAGAAGTGTGAATTAAACAAATTACCTGCAAATCATGTCAAACACAACTGGAGAAGAAAAAAAGAAATCTTAGCTCCAGAAAGTCAGAAAGAGAGGAGCTAGTCAATGTCTGTTTGAAGACAAACACTGGTCTATGCAGAGACCATTCAGAAAATATCAAATACAGATTTCCCCATTTGTTGTGGCACCATCTCTCCCCATAGCAAAATCATATGTGCACAGGCAGGCTCAAAGTTAAATTTACTAACCTTGCTAACTTCATATTGTTCAACTTAAAGTTCTAAATGTGAAAACTAAACCTATAAAAACCTCAGAGGAACTATATAATTTCTGTATAACTTGAGGTTAGGAAGGCTGTTTTACTTATGACCCCAAATCCAGAAAGCATAGAAGATGTATTTGAGTATGTTTTTCAAAAAGTCTTTTATACAGCACACCACTATAAGCAAAGTCAAAAGACAAATTACAACCTGGAAATATTTGCATTTCATATTATAGATAATAAGCTAAACTCCCTAAAATATAAATAGCTCCTAGAAATAAATAGGCAAAATAAGGCCATTGCCTCATGGAACAATAGTCAAAAGATATGAATGGGTGTGTTCAGAAAGGAAATACAACTGAGCCCTATGCAAATGAAAAGTTGCTGATACTCTTGCATAGTAAGGGAAATGCAAATTAAAAACAACTTTTCACCTATCAGATTGGCACAACTCCAAATGGTTGTGGGTAAGGTTATGGGAAAAAAGTTGCTGTCATCCTCTGAAGGCAGTAAGGAGGGTGAATTGACAGTATCTAGCAAAATAATAGTCGTGTCTCCTTCTTGTATTCTAGAAACTCTATTTTGGAGAATTTTTCTTTCAGACATACTGCATACATACGAAACGATGAATGTATAAAGCTGTCCAGTGCAGCATTTTTGTAATAACAAAAGATTGGAAACAAGCCAAATGTTCATCAAAAGGAGACTAAATAAACAGTTGTAGCTCTACACAAATAAAATACTGTGAGGCCCTAAAAAATGAGGGACTTCTGTATAAAGTAACATGCAGGTGTGTCTAAGGTATAAGAGAGCAAAGTTGAAAAGAGTGTGCATATTAAGCCGAGATTTGTTCTCTTTAAAAGGAGGAGTGTAATAAGAATCTATATTTATATTTGATCAGATGCGCTATCAATGAGGGTTGGGAATCATAGATCCAGGACTAGGCTGGAAGGGGGGCTTCTGAAGTATAATTTAATAGACATTTTGGGTTTTGAACTGTGTGAAGGTTTTTTTCCTGGAAACACGCATACGCAGAAGCAAAATCAAGTGCAATGAATTAGACTGACTTCCTTTAAATTAGTAATTATCTGGAAACTTGAGGACTTCTAGTCACCTTTACATATAAGGAAACTGAGGGATGGAGCCAGCAGGTCGACATAGTCGCAGATAAAAACTGGCAGATCTAGGAGATCAGAACCCAGATCATTTGGCTTCTAGCTTGGGGTTCTTTTAATTTTAATTTTTATTTTTTTTTGAGACAAGAGTCTTGCTTTGTCGACCATGCTGGAGTGCAGTGGCACCACCTTGGCTCACTCCAAACTCCACCTCCCAGGTTCACACCATTCTCCTGCCTCAGCCTCCCGAGTAGCTGGGACTACAGGTGCCTGCCACCACGTCTGGCTAATGTTTTTGTATTTTTAGTAGAGATGGGGTTTCACTGAGATAGCCAGGATGGTCTTGATCTCCTGACCTTGTGATCTGCCCGCCTCAGCCTCTCAAAGTGCTGGGATTACAGGCATGAGCCACTGCACTTGGCCAGCTCGGGGTTCTTACACGTCCATTATGTAAGCCTCCTTTGCCAGGCTGAAATAATAAGCGATAGGACAATTCGATCCAACTTAAAGCAACTTTATTGAGTGTATGTACTATAAAGGTACCTAGGTGATGCATGCACAAGGACACACAGATATACAGTTCCTGGGCCCGAGCATCTCCCAGGGCATTTAGGAAGCTATGACATACATACACAAGACAATCAGAACAATTTTGGGCAACACATAAGCACAAGAAAAGAAGACACAAACAACATTCATAATGGATGGTACAGGCAGAACAGTATTTCCCATAGAAAACCTCTCCCACAGATTAATTCTACAGTATCATCACAATAAGATGAAGATTAATGTCTATTTATTTGATTTCTTAATGAGGACATAAGATAAGAAACCCCAGCATTATATGTGTTACCTGTTAATGTTTCATCTCTTCTCATTAAATGTCTATAAAATAGAACCAAGTCGACTCTATAAATGACGCACACAGTCACTAGGCACACTACTGCCACCAAGATCAAAACAGCTATAATCATTCCTCTTGTGAAGACGTGGCCTGGGATATCAGCCATGTCTGCTAGAAAAGAAAGAGAAAAAGGAAAAGGAAATAATCAAGAAATCTTACCAGTGTTGTGCATCATCACATGCTTGTCCATTTTTACTGTTAACACTAATGCAGTAGTTACCAACCCAAGTGCTGACACATTCACTGAGTGAATCCACATTCCTGCCTTTAGTCTGGCGTAGTGATATTTCTACTCAAATTTTTAAAGAATAAAAATGTGTACAAGGATATTTAGAGACCTGAAGTGAAAACATTACACAGTAATGTATTCTATCCATATCTGTGGAAATCAGATTTCTGGGGTGAAGAGATACTAGGCTGAAGTACATAGGGACTCACAGAAACCTTAGCAAGCGGGTGGAGGTGCATAGTTTTGAGAGAAGAGAGAGAGGGCTGGATTGACATTTGTCTGGGTTAGAAGCCGGGCTCCATCAATTATTTTGTTTTGTAGGAAAAATCAAGAATGCCCCTAAACCTTGGTACCTTAATCTGAAAAAAGGAGAATCTAACAGTTTCTTCTTCCCTTACAAGGCTTCTCCTTTGGGGAAGATTACATGAAATATTACACACAAAGCAGTTAATACAGCACACAGCTCTTGGAATTTTAGCAAATTCTTTATATAAAAGTGCCATTTGGAAAAAAAATACATTTTCTAGATTGATTCTGTTTATGCTTATTATGGACAATCTAAGATAACACAGAGGAATAAAAGAATGAAGTAATTTTTAACAACCAACCACAATGTGGTGAAGGCTGTGTTGACATGGTAGAATATTTCCTTCTGGGTTTTCTTTTTTGTCTCTTAAAGTTTTTACTTAACTGAGATCATATGGTAATCACTCGTTATTTCCAAATATTATATTATGAGCATTTCAGTAGGTCATTAAAATTATAATTCATAATAACCTAATGTTTAGATCGATTGCAATTTTTAGTAAGTAGACATAAAGTTGCAGTACATTTTGTATGTAGAATATAAATGTATACATGTATATTTATATAAATGTATATGCATGTACGTGTGTGCATATACATTTACATGTATGTGTATATATACATGCATATATGTATATACATATACACAAATGCATATACATTTATCCATATTTCTAATTCTTTTCTTAAAATACATTGTAATGGTGGGGGCATCTCTAGGTCAACAAGTATAAACATACTTAAAACTTTTGCCATCTTGATGCAATTTTTAGAAATTATCTTTCTGTATCTTTCCACTATCTTTAGGATTCAGGTAAGCAGCTAATGTTGCTTAATAGTGAACTCTGAATGGTCTGGGGCTCCTGTACCTTTGAAAGAACTGCATAGTTATAACAGTTCCACACATTTTCACAGACACGCACACATTGGCACACAATTCCTCTTGGGATAATGGGGGGTTGTGAGCCCCAGTTCCTAAGCCTACATTTGTGAGAGCAGCAGCAGGAGAATTGGCTGGGCAGAAGCGTCTAGGGCAGGGATAGGACAGTCCTGCCCTGTTCTAAGAGGGGAGAGGCGACTGGTGGTGAGCAGGCCCCAGGAAAGCCTGGCCAGGCAACGGTCCAACAAAACAAGATTTGAGCCCCGCTCCCACGCAAGTGCGTGGACCACAGCGCAGGCAATCACACAGGGGCGGAAAACCACAGGCGACAAGCCCTGCAGAAGGTAAGAACACAGATTTCAGATTTAATCAGGTCTGAGTTTCAATGCCTTCACCTGCCGTGTGACCCTGGGCAAGTTTCTTCACCTCTATAAAGCTTGTCGTTAAGGCTGGATGAGATCATGGGAGGAGCTTCACCCAGATCCTGTCATGTAATTAACATGTATGGAATGTGAGCTGTTGTTATGAGTGCATATGGTAGAGGCAGCTCTAAAACATGTGTGCTGGGGGAGCTGCCCCTGGGCACCAGGATAGCCCAGCTGGAGGGGGTTTCCGGCCTTTGTGCTCTTCCTGTCCCACTCCTTCCGTTTTTCACAAAGCCAAGGCCCAGTCTGTGTGTGTGGCTCTCTCTGCATGTTTGTGTGTGTCTGTGTGTATCTCTCCCTTACTCTGTCTCTTTCTGTTTTGCTCTCATTTCTCTGTCTTTGCATCCCTTTGTGTCTCTGCCTCTCTATCTCCCTTTTCTCTGTTCGTCTGTCTCTGTGTCTCTCCCTGTCTCTCTCATTTCTCTGTCTCTCTGAGTCTCTGTCTCTGTTTCTCTCTCTATTTCTGTCTTCATCTCTCTAGAGTTGTCTGTCTCTGTCCCTCCATCTCATGTATCTCTCTTTCTCTTCTCTTGGTGTCCGTCTCTCCCTCTCTCTGTCTGTCTCTGGGTGTGTTAGTCTCTGTCTCTCTCCCTTTCTCTGTCTCTTGCAGATCTTGACCTTTCCCTACATATCCAGGGAGTTGATGGTGGAGCCTGGGAATGAACAGTGAATGAGTAGTGACAACTGGAAATCACAGCTTTCTGGCTTCAGTCACAGCCATTTCTGAGCAGCTACTGGGCTGAAGGCCTTGGGCTGTGCTACTTTGGTGGAGGAGAGGGAAGGCGACCCTGGGGCCCTCCATCAGGTGAGCACTGAATAACTCTAAGAGCCGGTGGATCAGGGCTATCAATGGCCTGCTTGCCAAGTCCACGGGGCAACGAATGAATGAGCACACACAAGGCCCCTGAGCCTGGTGCCCTACTGAGGCAGGCTGGAGCAGCAGTCACACCAAGTATGCACCAGCCTCACCCCACACGGATCTGCAAACTCCCCTCTGGCTGCTCTGGGTGCAGTACTGGGTGCAGTGCTGGGTGCAGGGGTTGTCCTGATGGCCTCTCTATGAGCCTCACTCTCAGCATCTGTATCTCCAAGCCTCAGCGCCCCCCCCTCCGCCGATTTCCACTGGGGTGGAATATGACTGTGAGAGCAAGTGAATGAGTTCTGTTTTCATTCTCTGCTTGGCACCATGAGACAGAGGGGCCCGGCCCAGCTGAACACCAGCTCCGCTACTGAATGCCTGTGACATGAGCTGGGTTCTGGTGTGGAAAATGAGAAAGTGGCCATCTTTGAGATGTCTCTCAGTAGCAGTGCGCTAAGTTTCAAAACTTCCAAAAATAAATCTTTCTCACCTTTTCTCACCAAGATGAAGCTTTTGGTGTCTGTGCCTCCCGTGCTGGCCACAGTGCAATTATATAAAACGTTTAGATTGTTTTCACCAATATTTTCAATTCTCAATACTTTTGAAGCATGCCATTTGCCCTCTGAAGTCCTGTAAGAGGGGAAAATAGTTTAGCAGTAGGCTTTGTTCATTACCCATAAGAGGAGAATTTATGTGTTTAAAATGCTTGAAGGCAGCTGTGATGTTGCCTGCATTATTTCTTCCCTTTCTGGTCAGTACTTTTAAAGCATGGACTACAGTAAACTTCCCCTCCTCTGTGGGGCATCAGAATGGACAGAAACAGCCCTCCTAAGGCTATTTGGGAATGGTGCTGTCAACTACCTAGAGTTTAAATGGCTGCAAGATCATGATGCTAAGTTGAAAATATGAGAAAATATTCTGTCTCTCAATTATTTTTCTCTACTTCTCTCTTCCTAACAGCTTCAGTTCTTTGCACAGAGTGGTTCCCACTAATTATGACAAGGCTGTAAGTTGTTTAGCATAGATACAGATTTGTATTACATTTGTCCGTGGAATCTAATAAACTGATTTAATTTGTTCAGCATTAAAAAACATAACACTGTTCTCAGGCATCCCCAGGCACATGAGAAGTGCCAGTTAAGCTGTTCCATGAGTGTCAGAAAATGACTTGAGACAGCCACTGGCAGCACGCTCTCCTTCTCTTCCTTAAAGGATTCAAGTTGTCCTGTGGTCGACGCCAGGTAAACACTCATGACATCCACTTCCCTCACCAATGACAGGCTGTGATAGCTATGCCAGTCAACACAGCCAGACATGGGCCCCACATACCCACATTCCTAGCAACAGGTATCTCTAGGACCTGAGACACAGAGCCCCACTGTACCCTCCAACTGCCTCAAGTACATTTTGGAAGGTAATTCTGTTCCTAAGTCACCCATCCAGAAATAACAACCATCTAAAACCAATGATATCCAGAAGTAAAACACAGGAGGCCACTGAGAGGACAAAACAGATGACATCAAAGGTGTGTGCAGCCAACTACAAAGGAAGACCTCCCTGCTTTTGTAGCTTAAGCTGCATTTCTAAGAAATTCATTGTGGTTTTCTATCCCTCTAAAAATTAGGAAGAGAGCATCCAAAGGGAGAAATACAAAACTCAAATGGAGGTCAGTGGCTGAGGATGAGATATGATGGCAGGAGATCCACAAAGTTCAACTGAATTCAACATGTAGCAGGCATGAATCACATGCCTGCTCCTGGGCAAGAAGTCAGACTTTGTGGTGTAAAGAGCTTGTAGACAAGTGTCAGCAAGAATGTAGAGCTGCCAACATGGTAACAAAGAATATACCAAAAAAATGTGTAAAAAGCAGAAGAAAAAACTCAACAAGTGGTGCTAAGGTGCTAGACAACTCAGGCTCAGCACTCACTAGACCCTGAGTAGTGTATCAGTATAATAGTGAATAATTACAGTATGACTCAAAGTCATTCAGAAAAGCTTAACTGACTATATGTTCAGTCTTTTTCTTTTTATAAGTCTGACCATTCCTTAATGGAAGAATATAGGCTTATTTAAGCATCAATATGCATGCCATTTGGAACCTTTTTGGCACATTAGAAAAATAAACAACTTAACAAATTTTTCAAAATAAAAAAAAGCTTGGCTTAGGCAACTGCCCTTTTCTAAGAAGCTAGGTAAAATCCCCATCTGCATCAGATCCTGACCGACCAAGTGCTGCTTTATAAGGTGATGCTAAATACCCTCAATGGCCTTCTCATGGACCTTCTTTTCCAGCTTAGATCTTGGCAATACATTTCTGCATAATCCATCCACCTAGGGTATGGCCATTATAATTATAAAATATGCCCATTATAATTATAATTATAATTATTTTTATAATTATATTTATAATTTATAATTTATAATTATAAACTAGCCCAAAATACACATCAGCCACCCAGTGTTTTTAATATACAGTTATATATAATATATATGATTGTTATATGGTATATATACATACATACATAATTCTTATTTCTTTCTCTTCATGTATATTAGGATCCGATCCATTTTCTTCCCCGAACATCCAATAAACTACATCCTCTTCATTCAGCAAAGCAGAGCAGTTGAGCCTTACATCTTTTCCTGGTAAAAGTTGGCAACTAAAGTTCTGATTTTTGAAACTCGGTTTCTCAAAAGTTTCAAAACAATATAATGAACGTATGTTAACCTAAAGCAAAACATGGTGCTCCATCCCAGAAACAGAATAAATATGCCTTGTTTTAAATTTAAAAAATATAAAGCTGAAGAAATAGGTAGCAATTACAAGTCATCACCAAAACATGATTTGGCTTCTTTTTAAACATTTATTTTTTAATCAACTATTAAAACTTAGGGTGATCAGTGTACTTTCTTTTCAGTACACAATTTAGTAGGTAGTATCAGGACGATACTCTCACTGAGACTTCTAGATAAACCAAATGGATAAACCACAAAAAATTAAATTAAGCAAACATTAAAGACATCAAAGTGCACAGAAAATAAAGAGAGATTTTCGAACTAAAAGTGTACTTAGGAAGGATCCTTTCTAGGGTGAGCTAAGATAGGTAGCCATTTCATTCTATGGAGGAGTTTGCTTTGGTTTGGAATAAACAGAAAGTGTCTCATAGAGACAAGAAAATCCAGGGAAGCTCTCAGCAGCTGCACAGGCTTGCAGAATTACTGCTAAGTGCTCGGACAGCATAAGAGGATGTAAAGGCTGCATGATATCACTTGCAGTCTCATGGTAATCAGGACAGCAAGTCTCATTAGAGAAAAGGCCTGCAACAAACACATGACTGCAGCACCCCCTCCCTAACCAGCTATCAGAGATGAAGACAGATAGGATCTAACATACCTACATCTCAGTCACCCCAGCTCAATTCTGAGTCAACTGAGATACTCATCTCTCAGGCTACCTACTTGTAAGAAAAAAATTACACAAACTGTGTTCACTTTAATTGTTTGATACACAAAGATCAACAACAATAAAAAGTTAAGAGACATACAAAGACACAGAAAATGTGCACGATAATCAATAGAAAAGACAGATAATAGAAGCAGACCTACAGATGCTGAATTTAGCAGATAAAAACTCTAAAGAACTGTTTGAAAGAAAATAGAGGAAAAGATAAACAAGTAGATGGAAATGTGGTCATTTTCAACAAAGTGTAATTTATTTTAAAAAGAATAAATTGAATATTTTTATATCATGCATATATAATATACCAACTGTAACAGTAATTTTAAATATACAAATGGACTAAACACCATATTGACCAGATTTCAAAAAAGATCCAAATACGTGCAGTTTATGAGAGACACTTATGTATACAGCAAAAAAAAAAAAAAAGTTAGTAGTAAAGGGATGTAAAAAAAAGACAAATATGCCAATTCCAAGCAAAAGAAAACTTGTGTGACTATTTCATATGGCAGAGTTACACATTGAGAGAGGAAGTGTTATGATAGATAAAGAGAGATATTTCATAATGGTAAATGTGTTAATTCAACAGGCATAAATCTGTGTATGCATATAAGATAGCTCCAAACTATATAAAACAAAAATTGACAGAACTAAAGGAGAGAGACATATTGACCATAATAGTTGGAGATATTCACGTCTCTTGCAGCAACACATAGAACAAGCACATAAAAGACTAGTAAGGATATAAATGTTTTGAACAGCACCATTAACGAACTCAACCAAATTGACATTTAAAGAATAGTAAAACCAAAACCTATAGAATATACCTTTGTTTCAAATGCATTTGGAACATTCAGCAAGATATACCATACTGTGGGCCTTAAGTAAGTCACTACAAATTCCAAAAGGTTGAAATGACACTGTGTCAGATTAAAAGTGGCAAGATTCAAAAAATGGCACCCTTTTTTTAGTTTTGTAATGTTAGTCAGCAAATATGAAATGTGTATCTGGTGTCATTCAATAATGTATTGTATTTACCCTTGGAAGACTCTATTATGTCCCCTACTTATAAATGCAGAATATACATATATTGAAATATACCTAATTCCACTGCAACATGGTTAAGCTTTGGTCCAAGAAGAACTGGCACTATATTACTGTGATCTAGAAGTGACAAAAGAAAAGACAAATGCATTAGTGTTGCCTTGAGCTTCTCTAAGAGAAGCATCTATGATAATATGCTCATTTCATGTAACAAAGATTCCAATAGTTACTGGTTTACATTCACTTGACTCCTATTTGCATTAACTAAAGGTCACAGATCATATTGTTTATTGTTTCATTCTCCATCAACTCCATGCTGACGGAGATGTTGAAAGCACCTTGCATCTGGTTTTCTCTCACTCAAATCTGCAGCTTCTGCTCACTTTAACTAAAAGGCAGAGGAAGATGCCCATCCACTGCTGCCTGACTCCCAGACAATCAAACATGCAAGAGTTGGACCATGCAATAACACCGGGAAGAGCCTTTCTGCCCTGTCTCGATTCCCTCCATCTGTCTTCCTCAGCTGGCCAGTGATGGATTTACAGGGTGCAGAGACAAGATGGGTTGAGAAAAGCAAATTCTTCACTCTAGGTGCCCACCGTTCCCTGGCAAGATGCTAAGAGCAGTGTCCCTTCAATATTGTGCCTGGGAGCCTCACCTGGGCCCTGGCCCTGCTGGTAAGTTCACGCCTATAGGCCAAGGTCTGCTTCTGCTCCTGAGTGGCTTCTGACCCTGACTGGAAGTACCACAGATGAATTCTGTCCCCTCAGTCCCCATCTGGTGATGCTTGGGAAGTAAGTCATCACCCAGCAGGCTCTTGCCTAAGGCAGCTGGCAACTGCAAACCCTAAGAGCAGTTGTGGTCATAGATTTAAACTGGTGCATAGTTAACTTATTGTTAGCCCTGATATCCGCATTGGTAACCTTCCTCATGACCAGGACTGTTCCCTGCTAGTAGCCCCGCTGCTTTGGGGCATTCCCAAGCAAGGTCCAGAACATCCCTCTGGGACTTGCAGGTGCTCAGCAAGCAGAATGCCTGGTTGAGTGGGGTACAGTGAGACTCAGGAGCCCTCCTGCAGCTCCCACACCTCCCTGAGCCCTTTCAGAAAGTGCAGTGCCAGAGTGAGCAGTGGAGAATGCAGTGGGCAGATATGTGAGCAAGAACAGGAGAATGAAACCAGCACAGTGGACCCCGGGGTTGAGAGTCAGGACTGGGTTCTCCTGGGATTCGGAGTCTCTGGGCAAGCCTGGAATGCTGGCAGACAGGCAGGAGGAGCTGAGATGTATCCAGGGAAAGAACCAACTCTCGGGTCTGACAATAAGAAGCAACATGGGCTTGAATTCAAAGACAAAGGGGCAGGAGGCAACTTCTTCTTTTTTTTTTTTTTTTTGAGACGGAGTCTCGCTCTGCTGCCCAGGCTGGAGTGCGGTGGCCGGAACTCAGCTCACTGCAAGCTCCGCCTCCCGGGTTCTCGCCATTCTCCTGCCTCAGCCTTCCGAGTAGCTGGGACTACAGGCGCCGCCACCTCGCCCGGCTAGTTTTTTGTATTTTTTAGTAGAGACGGGGTTTCACCATGTCAGCCAGGATGGTCTCGATCTCCTGACCTCGTGATCCGCCCGTCTCAGCCTCCCAAAGTGCTGGGATTACAGGCTTGAGCCACCGCGCCCGGCCGCAGGAGGCAACTTCTGTGTGAGGGGGAAAACTGCTACTGACTACCTTTCTCTGGATCCATTTTTTCCCCCAGAAACTTACATGGGAGACTTGAGAAGGGGCAGCGTGAAGGACATCTTTAGCAAAGGATGCTGTCTACTAACACTCAAATTATATCATTGGAAACCTACATCAGCTCTGAGTTTGCACAACTGGTGTAAAGTGAAGGGGGCAGTCCCATGTAGGTCACAGAAGGAAACAACATCATAGTTCATGCCCTTGACATGACCAGTCTACCTAGGAGGCTATCAGAGTCAAAACGGCATAGAGGTCATCAGCAGTAGGAGGAGACACCACCTGATCAGCCAGAGCGTGAGACCAGGAAAGTGGCAGATGCCCGGTGGGAATTCAGGTGACTGTGATTCACGAGCACGAGCTGAAGGCAGTGGTACTCCTGGGCTCCAAAAACAGTGCCCAAAGTATGGCGTTTTGGCAGGCTGAGTACTTTAAACTAAAGCACATTTGAAGACCTCAAAGCAGCCTCAAAACCAAGATCTCTCTGACCTTCTCCTGCCCTCCTGCTTCATGCCCCCATTCTCCCCAAAGCGAGTCCTAGAAACCAGACTCCCTCTTCCCAAAGGCAGATCATAAAAACTAGAATCCTTTTCCCCAAAGTAAGCCGTAGAACCTAGGAGCATGACTCTAACCTTCTCCTGCCTTTCTGTCTAGGAGCTGGCTATAAATTCTCTGGCCTCATTTGGTCTGACAGTAAGTATTAAGACCCTCTGCTCTCTACCCAGGAAAAAGAATTACCACAGAGAGGCCAAGAAAAATCTGGACAGGTCTTGCTGAGTTTCCCCACTCAGTCTATTAGCATTAGGTCATCCCCTCTTGTCCAATCACATTTCTACATGACTGTCCATGTTTCTAGAACCTAAGCATTTAAAAAGAAAAAAAGTGGTTTTCCTGAGTCTTGGGGTATTCATTTCTTTCCTTTTTTTTTTTTCTTTTGCGACCGAGTCTCGCTCTGTCACCCAGGCTGGAGTGCATCTGGCACAATCTCGGCTCACTGCAACCTCCACCTCCTGGGTTCAAGCAATTCTCCCTGCCTCAGCCTCCCAAGTAGCTGGGATTACAGGTGCCCGCCACCAAGCCCAGCTAATTTTTGTATTTTTAGTAGAGATGGGGTTTCGCCATGTTGGCCAGGCCTGTCTTGAACTCCTGGCCTCAGGTGATCCGCCCCCCTCGGCCTCCAAAAGTTCTAGGATTACAGGCGTGAGCCACCACGCCCGGTCCTGGGGTCTTCCTTTCTGAAGACTCCTATGTCACATAAAACTTTGATTAAATAAATCTGTTTTGCTTGCCCCTTGTTAATCTGTTTTTTGTTATGGGAGCATTGTCATGGGACTTAAGATGGGGAGGAGAGGTGTCACACCTTTCCATCACTACGGCAGTCACTACGTAGCAGCTGAGAGATCTCCATCTGCGAAGGCAACGGGACTGTAATAAAGACACAACATGGAGAAGGTGGGAGCTCAGAGCCCCCCCGTCCTCAACACAGGTCAGAACACCTCCTGGCTGTCCTCTCCAACTCCAAGCTCTAATTTCTGTAGACTCGTGGCAAACTTCGCCAAATCCAAATAAAAATAGCCAGGATGGTGAAGTGTCTAGACTTCTTGCTGCATGTGGCATCAAAGGAGTTGTTGCTGTCTCAATGATGCACACAACAGGCATGTAATGAGCACCTTTATGTGCCAAGTGTCAATCGTAGGTATTCAAGATGCAAAGATGAGGAACAGAACTCAGTGCAAACCTTTCCAGAAACTTTTCAAGTCATTGACAGAGGCACACATGTAATGCAATTCTGACAGCAATCAGAAAAGCAAACAAGAGACCATGGGGGCATGGAGGAGGAGGGACATTTGAGTGGAGTCCTGAGAGACTCAGTTGACATTCTCCAAGAAGACAAGGAAAATAAGATGGACAATTATGGGAGAAGAATAGCTTGTGCTGCAGGTGAGGTTTGGGAACCCAGCAGTGGGAGATGGTCATTACAGTGGAACTCTTGCTGTCCCTGGAGCCATTCTAGAGCTGAATACACACTCACTCAGTCATCTTCAGCCAACCCTATGAGGGATGAACCATTACTTCCCCATTTCACAGTGAGGAGTCTGAGGCAGAGAGGAACTAAGAAATGAACTCACCCAAGGCCACAGCCTCACAGAGCTGTTGTGAGGATTATATGACATGATTCAACTCCAGTACTTGGCACAATCCCTGGCCCATAGCAAGTACCCTTTTAATAATGGATATTCCTACAGCTTCATCAAAGAAGGAAGGAAAGAGCTGCTGATGGGCGGAAAGCAAAGATGGTGGGAGAGAGGGTGCAGGTTCTGAAAGTATCAAAGGGACAAAGATTTATACGATATTAAAAATACATACAGGAAAGAAAATTTGGAGAGTTTAGGGTAGATGATTATACATAGAATTTAAGTTTTTGAGTTTAAAAATTCAGTTATGGGTTTCCCCGGTTCTGGACTGTGGCAGGCAGAATAATAGACCCCAAAGTTTCCCACATCCTACTCCCGAGTTCCTGTGAATATGATATGTTACATGGCAAAAGGAACCTCTAGATGTGATTAAATTAAGGATCTTGAGATAGGGGGATCACCCTGGATTATCTAGGTGGGCACAATGTCGTCTCAAGGTCCTCGTCAGAGGGAGACAGAAAGGTCAGAGTCAAAAAGGAGATGGGGTGAGGGAAGCGAATGTGTTTGGCTCTGAAATGAAGTGGCACAAGCCAAGAAATGCAGGTGGCTTCTAGAAGTTGGAGAAAGCAAAGGCAAAGAAATGCATTTTCCAGTTGGGCGTGGTGGCTCACCCCTATAATCTCAGCACTTTGGGAGGCTGAGGCAGGCAGATCATGAGGTCAGGAGATTGAGACCATCCTGGCTAACACAGTGAAACCTCGCCTCTACTAAAAAAACACAAAAATTAGCTGGGCATGGTGGCAGGTGCCTGTAGTCCCAGCTACTCAGGAGGCTGAGGCAGGAGAATGGCGTGAACCCAGGAGGCGGAGCTTGCAGTGAGCAGAAATTGCACCACTGCACTCCAGCCTGGGCGACAGAGCTAGACTCCATCTCAAAAAAAAAAAGAAAAAGAAAAAGAAAAAAAAGAAACACGTTTTCCCCTACAGCCTCTGGAAGTAAAGTGATTCATTCTGCCAAAACCTTGATTTTACTGAAGACGTTAAACTTGGGGTAATTTGTTACTGTGGCAATACATGGGTGTGTATAGCTATATGCTTGTAGTGAAGAGGAAAGACGCTGCTAAAGCAAAGGCTGCAGCAAATGTGAGCCCACAGATTTTGTTGAACTAGCCACCCACACAAGTGTTACAGTTTCCAGTTTCTCAGGATGATGGGGGGAAAAAGGTCTAGACTGGATAAGTCACCTGTCTTCAAATCAGGAAAGGAGCTGTCATTTTAAGAAGGCGCCAGATTTAATCTGTGAAATTCTTGAAGGCAAATCAAAATCAGTGGTTGGAAGCTACGAGAAGGGATATTTGGACTCAATGGAAAAAAGAGACTTCAACAATCAGATATTAAAATCTGGACTATACTGCTGTGTGATTTGGTCATTTCCTTGGTAGTTCCCAAGAAGGGACTGGATGATCAATTAACAGCTGTGCCTTATGACAAATATCTTCACTGGGTGAGGTTTAATTAAATACCTTTAATGTCCCATGATACTGTTCTTCCATCACACACAGCCTGGGTCCAGCATCCCTCCCCTCCCACCAACACATCAATGTTCCTTAACTTTCCCAGTCAAGATCCCTTTCCCCAGCAGGTCACTGCTTCATGAGGCTCCCCCTCCAAGACGCAGGTCAAAGGGAGCCTCCTGCATCTGTCCTTCCTCCAACTTCCCCCTGCACTCTTGCAGCCTCACAGATAATGCTGTTTCATACGGTGGCATTAGGTTATTACTTCTCCTGATTATAATCAAATCCCTTGAGAATAGCACAGTGCTCACTTCATCTCATATTTCCTTGCTTCCCAGCCTCCCTGTGCTAAGTACAGTTTATTGAGTATAGATATCGTCAATAAATACTTGTGGAGTGAAAATGTAAATTCAACAACAAAAGATTCCACAATTTACTCAAATTCCACATATAAGAGACAGCTGACTCATGTGAGGTTTATTGATATAGATTTTCATTTCCTGCCAAAAAGAAAGGTTTATTTAGCCAAGTAGAGGAGCATCAAAAGGAAGATTTTGACCCTTATATTTGAACTAGTGGTGTGGTCACAACCCCAACTAAGTGGACTCTCAATTCCTACACAGTTTTGAAGAATGGAAAAATTCCATTTTACTAAAATACATCTGTTTCTTCCCAATTCTAAGATTTCCCTTACCTTCCACAACTGTTATATTGAAGGTTTTGGTGATGTTAAATAGTTTTCCATTATAATGAAGGAAATGCACGCAGGAGTAATACCCCTGGTCTTCCAACTCGGCGTTCTTCTTTATCGTTGGGTTTTTATTGTTCTCCAGTAGCTTTTTACAGTTCTGTTTTTAAGAAAGCAAGTTAAAATACTTTAAGTAAAAACCGAATTGAATTACAATGATCCAAATTTTTGAGTTAAATAACTTTAGAGCAAAAGGAAAACAGAATGGAAAGTAGCAATTCCTGGATGCATGTCCCAATGACTTGGTACTGCTTTTACTGAAACAATTAAATGCAGTCCCATTGCTGTTGGTATGATTATCATTATTAATATATGCTGGGAAGCAGCACATGGGGCAGTATGAGCACTGTAGCTGCTTTCATCAATATTCTTTCATCTCTCTTTCACACACCTGCAGAGAGAGAGAAACAGGGAGAGAGAGACAGAGAGAGAGAGAACACTACAACACAAATCCTTGCTTGAGTCACAACTCTTTCATACATGTTCAGTCCAATTTTGTGTATTCTGGACTATGCATCCCAGCGATGGGTAGTGGGGTGGGTGGAGAATTACTCAGAGAACCGAGTAGCTAGCAGACCACCCACACCTTTGACACTCTCCACCAGAAGCCAGCGAGCTGATTAGAAATGCATCCACAATATTCAAATCCATAGGTATACTCAAACATCTCTCTCTCACACACCCATTTCCATACATGTCACAGGAATTAATACTAACTGTAATAAAGCCACTTTCTTCAATCCAGCACATCTGACACCCAGTGGTAGGTCCCAGAGCCATGCAGGGACCACATGGGAAGGCTGGGGGCTGAATGGCCATCCTTGATGATCGGACACTGTTTCTGCAAACACCAAGCAAGAAGAACCTACTGCCCGCAGACTTCTCCCTCAGAGCTGGCAGCCACTGGGGTTAGACCCATTTTGCACAGAATGTGCCCGTGAAGCACCCAGATGTGTACCTCACATCAGTAAATTATTTATGTATAAGTCAAAATTTTATAAAGCCAAACTAATTTTTTCAAGCTATAGAAAAGATCAGAGACTCTTCATTTTTCCTTTCCAATCAATTGTCTACTAAATTGTCTACTCAATTGTCTACTGATTTAGACTCCTTGCTCTCGGGTGAAGTCAAGATCAGTCAACAGGCTTAGAATACTCAGCCCTGCGGTCAATTGTTTAGCTAAACATCCTTGGTGCATCAATGCTCTTAATTTAAATATCTGCATTTTGGAATTTTTTTTTTTTGAGACGGAGTCTTACTCTGTCCCCAAGGCTGGAGTGCAGTGGCTTGATCTCGGTTCACTGCAACCTCTGCCTTCTGGGTTAAAATGATTCTCCTTCCTCAGCCTCCTGAGTAGCTGGGACTACAGGCACCCACCACCACGCCCGGCTATTTTTTTCTATTTTTAGTAGAGACAGGGTTTCACCATATTAGCCAGGATGGTCTCGATCTCCTGACCTCGTGATCTGCCTGCCTCGGCCTCCCAAAGTGCTAGGATTACAGGCGTGAGCCACCACGCCCGGTCAGAATATCTTAAAACTCAGCACACCATGCCTCACTAATTTACATGTACTGTAAGACATTTGTACATTGATGGGAAATAGAGTGAAGTCAACTCAGGACTGACTCAAATGTTTAGAAAACATTTCAGATAAGAGCTATCTTTGGAAATCACAAGTAAACACTGTTCAAGCATAAGGCACAAACAAAAGTTTCAAGGATGTCATCATCACTCGCTTTAGCTTTCCCAAGTTCTGTTCAGACCACTCTCTCTTATAGGTCTTTAAAGTTTCCATGACAGAGTCACATTATTCAGATTTGTTATTCCATATAAACTGCATCAGCTGTCCCCAACCGTTTTGACACAGAGACTGATTTCATGAATGACAATTTTTCCATGGACCACGGTGGGTAGGGGTTGAGTGGGGAATGGTTCGTTTGGGGATGATTCAAGTGCATTATATTTATTGTGCACTTTATTTCTATTATTATTACACTGTAATATATAATGAAATAATTATACAACTCACCATAATGTAGAATCAGTGGAGCCCTGAGCTTGTTTTCCTGCAACTAGGTGGTCCTATCTGGGGGTGATGGGAGACAGTGACAGATCATCAGGCATTAGATTCTCATAAGGAGCGTGCAACCTAGATTCCTCGCATGCGCCGTTCACAATAGGGTTCTTGCTCCTGTGAGAGTCTGATGCTGCTGCTGATCTCACAGGAGGTGGTAATGTGAGTGAGGGGGAGTGGCCCGGGGATTGGGGACCCCTGAACTACACAATTTGTGTTTGTGTGTGGATGGGAGTGTGTACGTTTTTTATGCATACACATACTCTATACTCACACACACTATGTATGTGTATACTTAATTCCTATAGCGTGGTCTAAAAGAGTTTTTTTTTTTTTTATATTGTACTTTAAGTTCTGGGTTATGTGTGCAGAATGTGCAGGTTTGTTACGTAGGTATACACGTGCCATGGTGGTTTGCTGAACCCATCAATCTGTCATCTACCTTAGGTATTTTTCCTAATGCTATCCATCCCCTACCTGCCACCCTGCAACAGGACCTGGTGTGTGATGTTCGCCTCCCACTTACGAGTGAGAACATGCAGTGTTTGGTTTTCTATTCTTGTGTTAGTTTTCTGAGAATGATGGTTTCCAGCTTCATCCATGCCCCTACAAAGGACATGAACTCATCCTTTTTTATGGCAGCATAGTATTCCATGGTGTATAAGAGCTTTTAAAATTCAACAAGTAAAAGGTATGCCAACTGAAGAAGACAGAGAAAATAAACAGGCAACCCACAAAATTGCCTGATTGCAGTAAGATGCAATAAATAGACACAAAAGATTAATTTATTACTAAGAAAAGTGAAAAAACCACTAGGAGTTTTAGAAATTTTTCACATCCAATTTGAACCATTCTAGGAGCATTATTTCCCAGTGTTGTGGAGGTGACAGAAAATTGGGATTCTTTTTTCAAGTGTAGGGTAAAATTGGCAGAGCTCCCTGGAGACGAGTTTGATAGTGTGAAGAAAAAGACATAAACATGCTCACAGCCTTGGATTCGGTAATTCTACATTTAGGGATTTGGTTGAAGGACAAATTATATAAACACCCAAGGATCTGTGGAAGTGGTATTCATTTCAACCTTTAAATAATAGTGAAAAATAGGCAATTCACAAATGTCCAATAACAATGGGATTAGTTAGATGAAATCAGGCACATAAAAACGGAAAGCCTATGTTTAGAAGATCATTTAAAGATGTGAAGGGATAGTCACAACATAATTCTTAGAGGGAAAAACACAATAAAATAAAATATACCACTTTTAAAAAGCAAATGCTTCACAGAAAAAAAAAGGCATGAAGTCTCTGATGGATTTATGAGTGCTTTTTGCTTTCTTCATTTTTCAGTTTTAAAGTTAAAATATTATAAAAGCGTTACCATTTTCAATATTATAAAATGAACTAATGTATTCAGAAAAACATATACAATTGAGTTTTACATGTTAAGTACATGTGACGGGAGAAAAGGGAAATCCTTGAACTAGCATTCCTAAAAAGTAACTTATTGAAAGAGAAGGAAAATGAAGGAAGAGTGTGAGAGAGGCAGCTGTGATCATTTATTGAACACCAAATCCAGGGAAACTACTGTGGAACATATTTTAATACTATGTATCAGCTGTTGACAACAAGCCAGTGAGGATACTCGGCTCAAACAGGGCAAGTGAGTCATGTGGGATCAGGCAGCTTGCTATGAGACCAAATGGTAGCCCTCAATCCCTCTTTTGGGAATTTTATCTTTTCCATTAAGTCTTAAAGTTAAAATAACATAAAAGCATTACCTTATACAATGATGTGCTGTTGACCAGTGTTTGATAGTGACTGTTTTCACAGGTTATCTGCAAAAATTTTTTAACTTCCACAGTTTTACTAGTTACTTGTCTTTCAGTGAAACAGCTGTGTTTATTTCTTCTGATGACATTTAATTTCCATTTCTGAGTATAATTTCTATGGAACAAAAGTGTAAAGGTATTTTATAATGCTACCGAAACTTTGCAAATATCACCCATCTTCCCTTTAGTAACCAATGTTATGATATTTTTCCTTTATTTTTATTAAAGAGATTGATTCATTGATGTGCAAATCCTGCTCTGCCTCCTCTTGATTCAAAGGAGCAAGAACTTTATCAACTGTCATGGGAGCAGGGGGTAAAAAATGAAAATCTGAGCAGTCTACACACACAGAGACACACACATGCACACACACACGCACATATCCTACTGCAGACAATATATTATGGATGTCAGAAAAGCAGATCTTTACAACGTCAGTGATCTTCGCTGATGGATAAGTTCAGAGAGTCTTGGCCCAGGATAGGATGGTGGCTTTGGTTTCAAAAGGTCTATAAATTCCTGATGTTGTTTTCTAAATGTGTGTGTATATGCATTAGGTTTTATGTTTCTCAAGGCAATTTGTTCCCGTCCCATTCTCTTACTATTGAATAAAGCAAAGTCTGGAGTTGTTGCCCTCAGTGTAATTGAATTAGCTCTTTAAATGCCTTACTGACCAAAGGTGAGTATGAATAGATTTTATAGTAGTTGTTACTCCTCATCAGAAATTAATGATCAGGAGTATCACTAGACCAGGTGCAGTGGCTCACACCTGTAATCCCAGCACTTTGGGAGGCCAAGGCAGGTGGATCACCTGAGTCAGGAGTTTGAGACCAGCCTGGCCAACGTGTAGCCTGTCTCTACTAAAAATACAAAAATTAGCTGGGTGTGGTGGCGGGTGCCTGTAATCCCAGCTACTTGGGAGGCTGAGGCGGGAGGTGGAGGTTGCAGTGAGTGGAGATCACGCCATTACACTCCAGCCGGAGTAACAAGAGTGAAATTCCATCTCAAAAAAAAAAAAAAAAATTGGTGATCTAGAATTGGAAAAAAATACAGTATTTTTTAAATGAAGTTTTTAAAGAGAAAATGTTTCAAATTTGATGTTTCTTCCACTGCACCTGTGATGTATAGATTCATTTGCTAAATACAGCAGACACGTGTTGTTATCTTCTATGCCTGACACATTTGTGCCCACCTTAGGCTCTTCCAGTTCCCCTTTAGGTCTACAATAGGATAGAAGGAAGAAAAGACTAGCACTTACTGAGTTCCAGGTATCAGACTATGTATGTGCAAGGGAGATGACTGTTTTCCTTAGGCTCAGATGAGAATGCTAAATCTCAGACAGGTTAAACAACTCACTCAGGTCACACACTTGCTACAAGATGGGGCCAGGATGCAAATGCATATCTATTTGACCCCAAAGGCCAGAAGTGCTTTGCACAATTCTATGCTTTCACAATCCAATGAATCTGGCCCCTTCACTTTGGGCATGAATTTATAAAAGATTGGCCATGACTAGAGAATGTGGTAGGCTGTTGTCATGGTTACAGGCAGTGCGTCCGTGGCCATGGGACATGATAGAGCTACCTGGCCCTTGAAATGGATTCAGAATTCCATTGGCAGCACCTTTTCTCAAGTGTGTTTTTGTAACGTCTCCCCAGCTTCGGCCTCAATGAACTGGAGAGATAGAGATTTCTAGATCTCTCTGACTTGTTGCTTAAAAGGAATATCCCCATTTGTTCAGAATACATTGTTCTCTACCTCTGTAATCCTCAATTCCTAACACTCAACAAATGTGAGAGGACTGATGACACTCCATGTGCAGGACGCTGCGCTGCGAACACAATCACCAACACACTGCACCTGCCATCCAGGAGCTCCAAGGCTGGTGTTAACACGGAGGCCTACTGACCCAAAGCTGTGACCACACTTTCCTGCTACAGGCCCAGCCCATCCTGGTTATGAAAACCACTCATTTTTGTCCACACACACCAGGGCATAAGCACCAGTCCCCACTTCTGAGGCTGCTCACCAAGCTGAACTCACTGTCTGTCAGTCTAGGATTGGTTTATTAGATTTCCATGTGTACATTTCTCTCTACCTTCATTTCTTCATCTCTATCACTGAAAAATGCTCCCTTTTGTATCCCCTTCCTTCTTAGTTGATTTCTTTCTTAAAATTTGGTGGGATAAAGTGATTTTCAGTGCAGGATTAAATGATCAGTCCTCAATGGCATTTGATTATTAGCAATGGACTCCTAAAAACTAAAGAATTACTGTTCTAATGGTAAAATTTCAGGTGTAAAGTCTGTTCACTGATAGATCCCACATCAAACTACAAAGGCTTATACACCTAAGTTACAACACATATGTGTGTGCACGCACACACAATCTGCAGTAAATACTGCTTACTAATTATGCTATATTTGAAGATGTCTATATCTTTCATGCTCCTGGGTGTCTAAAACAACTTGCTTCCATGTAGAATCCCATTTATTTTCAAGGCCATTGTCAAAGCTGCTTCTCTCCTCATCACTTTACTCTCATAGTGATCAGTCTCCAGTACCCACTCTGGGACACTTCGTTTTTCTTAGCATCTCCTGTCTGCTACCCTGTCTCTCCACACGTCTCTGATGTCCTGCCTCGATCTTTTGCTTCCATTGTTGCTTCCTAAGCCAGGCTGTATTCTCTACTCCCCATATCAGAAAGATGGCCAATGCCATTTGCTTCTGTTATCTCCAACTGATGATCATGGATGCCTGGCTGTTCCTCTCAACATGTTCTCTCAGCCCTGTCCAGAATACTTTATTCCTTTAAATCATGCCTTCATTCAATCAGGAGTCAGAAGTTTGTGGGGGGCAGTGTTTGTTAATCTGTTTCCTTTACCCCATTTGTGAGTATTCATTCTTCCTTAGCTTGTTATGAAAAATCTCAGTTGTGACCCATTTCTGTAATTATCCCTCTTTAAAGGTCACCTAAAGATGTATTGGTTTTTATCAAAAGAGTTACTTAATTTTTTTCTGATGCCTGGGAGTTCCTATGTATAAAAACAAACAAAAGTGACCTAATTTGGTGCAAAACCACAGGAGCACTACCAAAGTTTCACAGTGATAGCTCACTCTGCTCTCAACGGCACGGCTGATAATGATCAGGACTCACTCTAGAAGTGCCTCCAAAAGAAATCTGCTACATATGAAATCTGCACACCATGACCTTCAGCTGGCTGTGAGCTATTTCCTACAGGTCAGTCTCAAGTCTCTATAAAAATACCTACACATGTAGGTAGGTAGGTAAGTACATCTAAAAAGAAACATGTTCAGTAAGTGTGGGTGATGCTTCCAGTTGGCTATGCTCATTTAATGGAAGTTATCCAACATAATTATGAGTATCCTGGCACAATCCAGGGCCACCGCATGAGTAAAATGCAAAGCCCTTCTGTGTTGCCCTTTCTCACTGCCCCCAGCTGTGGGTTGCAATTGGCTGCTGGAAACACACATCCTCCACTAGCACTGCCACCTGGTTCCCCATGAGCCCCTGCAGACTGGACTAGTGTGTGTCTGCATCAACCCCACCCCTGCGCCCCACCAAGGATGCCACCCAGGAAGCTGACACTGCCCCCTTCACAACACATTAATATTATCGTGAAGTCCGAACCGCTGATTTCATTTGATTGGGGGCATGTAGACAACAGGAGCGGCTGAATTTTAAAACTGACTTTCATGCAATCATTACTTACCATTGGGAAGAATCCCCTAAAAGGAAACCCTATTAAGGTAATCTCCTTTCTTTAAGGTCACTAAGAAAATAAGCAGAGAGAAATAAATGTATTTTGTTCTGTAATGAACAACGTATTTCATGTTGTAGGAAGAGTAGAAAAGAAAAAGATGTGCTGATTATCTGACCTTTAAGATTAGTGCATATTTGAGTTGCTGAACAAAGGACAAGAGGGCTATAAAATACATTTTAAAAAGAAAGGGTTACTCACTCCATTTGGAAAGAGTAAGATCCTGTGTCATTCAACTCAACTGGCCAAAACTCCAAAACACAACCATGCAAAGCAATTCTCGATGAACTCCTTGGATTCAGCTCCACACGTTCCTGTGATCCACTGCTTTTGTACCAGCTTTTGGTGATTGTTTCAATCTCATGTGCAGGTGAACACGAACAATATTTCAGATAGAAAGGTTCCCCTTCAACCACAGTAATGTGGGGACGTGAAGTACAAGATTCTTCAAAAGATTAGTAAAGTAAAAGACATAAAAACAAAAACCAAAATGACAAAGGTAACTTTTTTGTCTTCTCATGCATTAGGTGAAAAAGCAAGATTAGTAAGAAAGTCCTGAGAAATCTCAGTGTCACTTTCCTGTGGGTTCCTTTATTTTTGCAACAATCTTTTCAACACTAGAAAGGATGAGGCACTTTCAGAATATAGATGAAAACACAACTTCTGACAGTTTCTCCCCAACAGGAAGGTATCAGAACTTAGCTAACCGTAGCTAGAAGACTGATAATTGTGTCATCTCTTAGAAGAAAATATTACACATTACAACTTCTTCAAAGGAAAGCCACAGAAGTCACAGTGCTGCCATACCTACCCCAAAACATACCCAGCTGAGGAGTCTCAGTGGAAAAGAAACAAAAACTTAGCAACCTTGGCATTCTTCCTCTGCACCATCAGAAATCTCACTCACTGTGCATTTACCCTGCCTATCTAACATTCCCTGGCAAGTGTGGAGATGGTTAAAGATGTGCCTATGTAACTTACAGTGTGTGTACATTTATTATTGCTGTAGGTCACCATGTGGATAATCAATAATTCATTAATATAATATCAATCCAAATTTGCATATCTGTCACATTCCCTCCTTCTCAATTGACCCAGATTCTCTGGCTTTGGAAATATATCTGACCCTCATCTACACAGGATAGGTGTTCCTTTCCCTCTTTCTGCACTTCTCGTACTTCAAGGTCAGCATTAATCGGTCTTTCTCATAATCTATCCTCCCGTGACTCTTGGATGCACTTTTACCACATTTTGAGGATGAGAATATTTAAATTGAATGAAACATTTCCCTTAGGACATGGACAGAATGCCCTCTCTATATGCCCTGACTATAGGGTTTGTTTCTCAAAGCAGCAGTCTGGTTTTAACTCAAAATTGTTAACTACAACATAAAGAGGAAGTGATGTGATAGAAGTGTTCTGATATGGTTTGGCTGTGTCCCCACCCAAACCTCATCTTGAATTTAATCATGGAGGCAGTCTCCTGCATGCCGTGCTCATGATAGTGAGGGAGTTCTCATGAGATCTGATGGCTTTACAAGGGGCTTTTCCCCCTTTTGTAAGTCTTCTGAGGCCTCCCCAGACCTGCAAAACTGAGTCCATTAAAGCTCTCTCCTTTATAAATCACCCGGTCTCAGGTATGCCTTTATTAGCAGTGTGAGAATGGACTTATACAGTAAATTGGTACCAGGAGTGGGGTGCTGCTGTAAAGATACCCAAAATGTGGAAGTGACTTTGGAACTGCATACAGACAGAGGTTGGAACAGTTTCAAGGGTTCAGAAGAAGATGAAAATATGGAAAAGTTTGGAACTTCCTAGAGACTTGTTAAATGGCTTTGACCAAAATGTTGATAATGTTATGGACAATAAAATCCAGGCTGAGGTGGTCTCAGATGGAGATGAGGAACTTTTTGGGAGCTGGAGCAAAGGTGACTCTTGTTAGGTTTTAGCAAAGAGATTAGTTGCATTTTGCCCTTGTCCTGGAGATATGTGGAACCTTGAACTTGAGAGATGATGACCTGGGAGAAGAAATTTCTAAAGAGCAAAGCATTCACGACGTGACAGAGCATAAGAGTTTGGAAAATTCACAGCCTGAGGATGTAGTAGGAGAGAAAAACCCATGTTCTGGGGAGCAATTAAAGCCAGTTGCAGAAATTTGCATAAGAAGTTAGGACCCAAATGTTAATTGCCAAGACAATGGGGAAAATGCCTCTAGGGCATGTCAGAGATCTTCACGGCAGCCCCTCCCATCACAGGCCCAGAGGCCTAATAGGAAAAAATGGTTTCCTGGGATGGGCCCAGGGCCCTCTTCTGTGTGCAGACTATGTACTTGGTGCCCTGCATCCTAGCCTTCCAGCCATTGCTAAAACAGGCCAAGATACCAGGTCAGGCTGTGGCTTCAGTGGATGCAAACCCCAAACCTTGGCAGCTTCCACATGGTGTTGAGCCTGCAGGTGCACAGAAGTCAAGAATTGAGGTTTGAGAACCTACACCTAGAAATCAGAGGACGTATGGAAGCGCTGGATGTCCAGGCAAAAGTTTGCTACAGGGGTGGAACCTTGATGGAGAACCTTTGCCATGGTAGTGTGGAAGGGAAATGTGGTGTTGGGGCTCCCATACAGAGTCCCCATTGGGGTGCTCTACAGCTAGTAGAGTTAAGAGAAGAGGGCCACCATCCTCCAGGTCCCAGGATGATAGAGTCACTGACAGCTTGCACCATGCACTTGAAAAAGCCCAGAAACTCAACACCAGCCCATGAAAGAAGCCAGGAGGGGAGATGTATCCTGCAAAGTCACAGGAGCAAAGCTGCCAAAAGCCATGGGATCCTACCTCTTGCAGCAGAATGACCTGGATGTGAGACATGGAGTTGAAGGAGATTATTTTGGAACTTTAAGATTTAATGACTGTCCTATTAAATTTAGAACTTGCATGGGGCTAGTAGTCCCTTTGTTTTAGGCAATTTCTCCCATTTGGAAGGGGTGTATTTACTCAATGCCTGTACTCCCATTGTATCTAGGAAGTAACTAAATTGCTCTTGATTTTACTGACTCATAGGAGGAAGGGACTTGCCTTGACTCAGATGAGACTTTGGACTTGGATTTTTGAGTTAATGCTGGAATGAGTGAAGACTTTGGGGGACTGTTGGAAGGGCATGATTGTGTTTTGAAATGTGAGGACATAAGATTTGGGAGAGGCCAGGGGTAGAATGATGTGATTTGGCTGTATTCCCATCCAGATCATCCTGAGTTGTAGTTCCCATAAGCCCCATGTGTCATAGGAGGGACCTGGTGGAAGGTAATTTAATCATGGGGGTGATTACCCTCATGTTGTTCTCCTGGGAGTGAGTTCTCATAAGATCTGATGTTATTATAAGGGGCTTTTCCCCTTTTTGCTCAGCCTTCTCCTTGATGCCACTATGTGAAGAAGGACATGCTTTCTTTCCCTTCCACTATGATTGTAAGTTTCCTGAGGCTTCCCCAGCCATACAGAACGGTGAATCAATAAAACCTCTTTCCTTTATAAATTACCCAGTCTCAGGTATGCCTTTATCAGCAGCATGAGAATGGACTAATACACATTCTTTGAAAACATGGATGTAAAATCTACCTCAAAACACAAGAGTTAAGGAGCCCCAACCTCATGTTTTCCGGTTGTAATACAATCTCTATTTTATACTAATACTTCAACATAGAAGGTGTGATACATGTGTATATATGGGTGTCAGCTTCAATTTACATGCAAAACCCTGGTGAGTCATTAACAGTTCATTTATTTTCCTGTTTTAGAGTTAATATAATAAAGTGCACAGACCATACAATATGTGCTCCTTTACGCCTGGGTTATTTTGACATGATTATGTTACAAATGCATTCATGCTATAACAGTGATGTGTTCTTTTCTCATTGTAATGTAGTATCTAATTGTGTTACCATTTGGCAATTTATCCATTTTATAAAGGGATACATGTTGGAGATTTGGTTTATTAAACAAATGTCTGTTGGATATTGGGTTATTTCCAGGTTTCCAGGTTTTCGCTTGTCTTAAAAAGCTTCTATAAACACATCATATGACTGTGTTTGGATGGACATGTGCTCTCTGGAAGTATTATCATTTGAAGAAACTTAATGTGAACTACACACTCTCCAGAGGTGGGAAGTTGACAGTTGAAAGTCCACACCATCCCCCTCCTCAGGCAGCTAGAAGCTTTGGATATCTAATCATGGTTTACCATTAGAGGCTTTGTTGATTACCATAATACTTGTTGGAAATGGTCCTTGATGGGATAAATAAGTGGAATTCAAGGTGTGTGGAGTTCCAAGTGCCAAAACAGGCACTCCTATTGTTCCATAAACACAGTATAAGAACCCAGCAGGGCCAACAACCAATGCCATTTGGAATAAAGTCTGTGTTTGAAACTGTCTTGGTTTTGGACAATTGTAGGATTTTGTCACTTAAACTCAACTAGGTTCAGTGAATCCTCTATGTAGAACATTGTCATGTCTCCCTGGAGTGAAACATTCATGAGAAGTGCTCTCCAGGGCAGGCAGCTGGGAGCTTGGCAACTTTGCACAACTGGCTGCATGACGGTTTCTGTGCCTGAAACATGCTCTCGTTATAATGAGGAGCAAGGCTGTTAGTGTGTGTCCACAGGACATGGGCCTCATGACACATTTTCCTGCAGCTTGTTTTTCCTCTGACTTGTTTCTGACACATCATTACATTAAAAAAAAAAACACAAAGATCTCTACCTCATTCTTTTACCATCTGGGTAGGGTTGTATTGCAGGGATCTCAATAATAAATGGATCCACATAAGTAAATATACCCTGAGATTGGACCTGTGTTATTTGAAAGTACCAAAAGCTTAATTCTGCTCTCTCTTCAGCAGTAATTATCAAAGCAGAGAATATGGGCCCATGTGTTTCCCTCTCCTAGGTAATAGATCAAGGCAAATTAATATTTGTGCTCCCACTTTCTTCCCCAAAGTCTAAGGAATGCCTTGCTAATCAATCATGGATTGAGTCTCAGAACCCTTCTCAATTAAAACAAAACAAAACAAAAAAAAACTCTAGGCAATCACTGCTAATAAATTGGAGTCTCAGAACCCTTCTCAATTAAAAAAAAAAAAAAACTCAAGGCAATCACTGCTAATAAATTAAAATTGGTATTTGACACCTACTATGAAGCCCACTCGAGCTCCCTGGTCTAGCCAGTCTCTTTTTGTATATTTCATCTCACTCTAATTTTTGAAACCTGTCTAATGTATTTGTCATTTACTTTTCTCATTATTACCTAAATAATGAGATGAATCTTTGCCTCCCTCTCACGAAGGAGACAATGTGTTTCAAACTTCCTAAAACCCAATAATAAAGATGGCTGCCACCTCCTCAGTTTCAAACAACATGAAATAAATTTCCACCTCAGACAAACGTAATTTATTTCAAGATGTAAGTTGTTCACTCTGCTCTCACTACATAAACTCAGACTGCAGAATATTTTCTTTTCTGAATAAATTCAGCATCTTCAGTAGCCACCATATAAAAAAAAACTTTGACATTCTTCCTCGATTACTAATGAAATACGTTTGTGAATATGTATAATCACTTACCTGCAGTGCTTACAAATATAAGCACCCAAAGAGTCAAGGGTAATTCTCTACAATTCATGGTTTGGATTCTGCTTCAAACGGCTTCTCTGGAAAACAGAATAAAACAGATCCAGTCAAAGCTTTCAAACAAAAGCATATCTATCTTATGAAGGTTTAAAAATCTTCTGGCACACAGATTTTCTAAAAACCAACCTAGAAGATTTTTATATTCCTTAATCTAGTAACCAATTCTCAGGACTTTCAGCCATATAAAATTAATAAAATTAGGCTAGGCATGGGGGCCCACACCTGTAATCCCAGCACTTTGGGAGGCCGAGGCAGGCGGATCACGAGGTCAGGAGATCGAGACCATCCTGGCTAACATGGTGAAACCCCGTCTCCAGTGAAAAATACAAAAAATTAGCCGGGCGTGGTGGCGGGTGCCTGTAGTCTCAACTACTCAGGAGGCTGAGGCAGGAGAATGGCATGAACCTGGGAGGCGGAGCGTGCAGTGAGCCGAGATGGCACCACTGCACTCCAACCTGAGAGACAGAGCAAGACTCCATCTCGAAAATAATAATAATAAAATTTCAAGGCAATGAAGTTTTGCTTCTGGAAAAAGGCCTGGTCTTCTAAATCCTGCTTCCAAGGTCAAAGTTGAAAACAATAGTACTGCTACAAATATTACCATTCTGTGAATAAACAATCTGTGACATGCTGAGCTATGTATGACAGTTCTGCCTATGTAAGAGAGTGTGTGTGTGTCAGGCCTCTGAGCCCAAGCCAAGCCATCGCATCCCGTGTGACTTGCAGGTATATGCCCAGATGGCCTGAAGTAACTGAAGAATCACAAAAGAAGTGAAAATGCCCTGCCCTGCCTTAACCGATGACATTGCACCACAGAAGAAGTGAAAATGGCCAGTCCTTGCCTTAAGTGATGACATTACTTTGTGAAAGTCCTTTTCCGGGCTCATCCTGGCTCAAAAAGCTCCCCCACTGAGCACCTTGTGACTCCCACTCCTGCCCGCCAGAGAACAACCCCCCTTTGACTGGAATTTTCCTTTATCTACCCCAATCCTATAAAACGGCCCCACCCTTATCTCCCTTCGCTGACTCTCTTTTCGGACTCAGCCCGCCTGCACCCAGGTGATTAAAAAGCTTTATTGCTCACACAAAGCCTGTTTGGTGGTCTCTTCACACGGACACACATGACAGTGTGTGTTTTCACATCAGAATGCTCCTGAATTGTAATGAGATCTTCATTTAGGGGTTGAACTTTTAAAAATCCATCTTCCTCCTTCAGAACGTAGGTTTCATAGTTCTAGGCACTAAGTCTGTTTAGCTCTTTTGCTCTTCACTGTATCACTAAAACCCAGCACAAAGCCTAGCACATGGCCAGCACTCACTAACATGTGTCACTGAGGCATAGGTGTGTGTATGTGTTTGCGTGTGTCTGTGGCTGCCCATATGAGTTTACTTTAGGGAAATGGAGAGATGAAGTGACAGTCTCCTAACTCCAGACCCCTCCTTTACATTGACCGTGACCCAGTGGAACTAAGATCTGCATTGAACTTTGATCCTACTACAACCTAGCATTCACACTTCTGATTACAACTTTAAGTGCCCAGTGGAGGAAGAATCGCCCCACAGTGGAGACCATTCAGAGTCTAAATACTGCATAAATAACACCATGTCCCTTGTTTACCATCCTGAGTGCAGGAAGGACAGGCTGATGGCAGAGTCTGGTTTCAGAAACACACCAACCTGGGTTGCCACTCCAGTTTGAATACTGACAAGCTGTGCAAAACTTGAGCAAGTCTTAGAGCCTGTTTTCTCATTACCAAATGGAAATGGTAAGAAGGCCTGCCTCTGGAATTATTGAGTGATTAAACCTTCTAAGGCTTAGTAGCAGCTTCTCAGCCCAGAATAATTCCCCTCTCACCAACAACTACTCATCCTCCATCCTAAAAATAGGGTTGTCAATGCCTGAATCCAAGATAAAGCTTAATGGCTAAGCTGCCAAACCATTCACATCCATCCTTATGGAAAAATCACCAAATATTTGGTGGAATTTCCAAGAGATAATAATCAATAACGTAAAGGCCAAAGAAACAAGTATGAATGGAAAGTACCAACTATGCATAATCAAATTAGACCAGTTCTATGGTTAGAAACCTCCCCCGATACCTCCACACACATTTCGTCATTAACTCTGCCTATTCTTTCATCTTAGAAAGAATAAAAAATGTTATTTCCTTTATGTCACTACTCTGATTAAGGCTGACATAACCTTATAAAAAGCATCACTTTTGTAAAAAATATTCAATATCTACCAAGAGACAAAGTTACTAGGAGATGATTCAGCAAACTGACAAGTTAACTCTGAGTTTCAATATGAAACATATTAAGTTCTTAGTATACAAAAATTAGTTGGTATTTGCACAGCATTCTGCAAATCTGGATGTGTGTATGTAAAATTTTTAAGGTACTCTAGTTTTATGTGTGAATTTAAGAGATTAAGGTTATATTAAATAATGAACTCATTTCCAGAAAAAGAGCTATTCTGATAAATGTAACAGATACTCTAGCAAGTGTTAATAAAATAGGTGTAGAAGAATATAAATATTAAGTCTTACATGTAAGAATTTTAAGATTTTTTAATTGTTATGTTTAATACCAATATTTTTGCTTTTCTATCACTCTTAAGTTTCTTTCTTTTTAAAAAGTTTCTCTGATTTCTAAAGCAATTTACACTCAATGTAGGACATTTACAAAAGGAAGACTGAAAGAAGAAAATAATCTCAACAAGTATAATTTTTAGCATGTTTTCCTGTACTTTTTATAAATGTTGTCACATAATTAAGATGTTTGGCCAGGCATGGTGGCTCATGCCTGTAATCCCAGCCCTTTGGGAGGCCAAGACAGGAGGATCATGAGGTCAGGAGATTGAGACCATCCTGGCTAACATGATGAAACCCCGTCTCTACTAAAAATACAAAAAATTAGCCAGGTGTGTTGGCGAGCACCTGTAGTCCCACCTGCTCAGGAGGCTGAGGCAGGAGAATGGCGTGAACCCGGGAGGCGGAGCTTGTAGTGAGCCAAGATCGTGCCACTGCACTCCAGCCTGGGTGACAGAGGGAGATTCCGTCTCAAAAAAAAAAAAAAAAAAAAAAAAGATGTTTAAATGATTGCATATCCTGCATTTCCACTTAATATTACATAATGAGCATTTTTCCTGTGTCACAAAACTCTTTGTTAAAACCATTCTAATTGCTACTTAATATTACTTCATGTGGATATATTATCATTTACCAGATGTATTATGCGATAATCACATGACCATCTTCATGGGTAAGGCAGGACGGCTCCGTTTTTTTGCAGCATGGGCTCAGGTGCCAGCCTGGGTAGATTTGAATCTCCATTCTACCCTCTACCAGCTAACCGACTGTGGGCAACTGACTTACCTGTTCTGTGCCTCAATTTTCTTATCCATAGAAGGGGATCATCATATCATCTCCCAGAGCTAATGTGAAGGTTAAATGAGTTACTATTCCAAGTGTCTGGTGAATGGTAATAGCACTTAAATGTTAGTTATTATTATTTGTCTACATTTCTTATTATTTCCTAGATGTTACTCCATGGCAGTACAGTGATTGAGTTGAAGACTACATTTAAACCTGACAGATGCATGCTGCCAAACTGCATTCCAGAAATGTTGCAATAATTCATATTCTCTCACTCAATAGCACAAGACAGTATCTATGGACCACACCCAGGAGAGGACTGAGCAGCTTTACTTTTAAAATGTAATTAGCCAAAATGGAAAAATGATATCTCATTGTTTTCTGAATTTGCATTTCTTTGGGTATAAATGAGGCAAATATTAATCACATATTATCAGCCATTTTATTTTCATGTTTATGAACCATCTCTTTACGTCTTTTGTCCAGTTCTCAGATGTTTGTCTAACTTGTTGTTTACTTTCTGTCTTTTGTTATGCTAATATATGACAAATTTTAGATTGATGTAGTCACACTGATCACTCTTTTGCTTTGTGATGTTTTCATTACTTTTGAGTGTAGGATATCCTTTCCTGTCGGGGGTCACATAGATGCTTACGTAGTCTCTTCATTTTTATGACTCGGTATTGTGTTGTTTTGTTTTTATGTTTAGCTTTTCTCATCCACCAACAATTAACTTTCTTGTTTGACATGAAGATAGGGAGTAACTAAACCTACTTGCCTCAAATAGCTACTAATTACTTCTCTACTGTTAATTAAATAATTCCGTATTTCCCCTACGGTTTGCCAACACTACGTTGTCATGTATAAGTCCTCCCTGAGCACTCTACTGAAAGTCTAACACAGCATGCTTGCCCAAGTGCAAACACACACATGCACACACACACACACACACACACGCTCACACATACCAATGTGCCTCTACCCTCCCACCTTTAGTTTTTCTATTCATAGCACTTATCACTGTCATATTTTCACTTTATGTCTGCTTGTTTGTTATTTGCTGAATTACTGAATGACTTAAATCCATAAACTATACATAATTTTGAATCTAGGTGATCATCTGATCCACTGGCACATCTGCATCATCTACTTTTAAAATGCTTTTTAAAGCATGATATCTTGGAAAGTATGTTTTAGCAACTAATGTGAAGTCTAGGCCACCAGCTCTCACTCAAGTTTGGAAAAAAATCATGATGGCTGGGCTCCACCCAGCGGTCTGGAGGACAGACTGGGCATCCTGATTCCTCAGAACTCCGCAGGTGACTCTAATGTACAGTCAGGTGGAGAGCTGCCGACCTAGGGCATTTATTTGTATGCTTAGGAAAGTAAATTTAATACACCTTAAATGCATATATTTGATGTGTCTAAGACATATTAAATATTTGTACATGTACATATGTACGTACGTGTGTGTACACACACATAACGAATAGTCACAAACTTATCTAAATCACCCAAAGGTGTGAAGTTTTCTCTAAACGAAGAAAAAAAACAGTTTCCTTCCAAAAATGGGGTGACCTAGGCTTAAGGTCAGATCCAAGTTGACCACTCTGTCTCCCAAGGCAGCACAGTAAAAAGCCCTTCCAGAGGGTCCAAACAGTCACCTGAACCCCTGGCTCTGCCCAGCTGCCCTTGTTTATGGGCCCCACCCTGAGAAACTGACCTTTCTCTAAATGTAACTCACAGAAACACATAATGCACAGGGAAAGAGCCACTTCAAACTCTTTCAAACTGAGATTTGAGGAAGTGAATTGGTGAGCCTCAGATTACAGCTTTTCACAAGGACACACATGAATCAATGTAGATGCTGTAATATAAATCACTCATTAACAACACATACAATCGAGCACCTCCTGACACAGAGTGCTTGGATGAAAATCTTAACACCAGTTTTCTAAAAATGTAATTTTTCTTCTACAGTGTTCCATGCATAGTCGTTTTACTCAGCCTGCAAGATGATAAAACCACCAAACGCAAAGAGGAGAAAACGACCTTGGGGCATAACATACACACGCTTAAACTCTAACAAACAAAAGAATTTGTGTGGAATTTGGCTTCTCATCTGTAAGGCCAAGAAAATCAATGCCACCTCATAGTCCTTGTCACACAAGTGTCTGTTGTTAGCCTTATCCTTCCCCCAACCTAGTGTCGGCAAATCGTGGGCAAATCTGCCTACGCCTGTGCCACCTGGGCTACCCTCCCCACTTCTCCCAGCTGCCAGGTCCCTAGAGTCCTTGCAACTTGGCTCAATATTTGCCTTCTCAAGGAAGCTCTCCAACTGCAACAGCCCCAAATGGTGCATGCCTTTGTCCAAGCCCGTCTCCATCATTCCGCAGGTGTCTCTATCACTCCTGGACTAGCTCCCACTCTCTGGTGAGGTCCATGAGGGCATGCGTTTTCTTTTCTTTTTTTCTTTTTTTTTGAGATAGGGTCTCGCTCTGTCGCCCAGGCTGGAGTGCACGGGTGCAATCTCTGCTCACTGCAACCTCCGCCTCCCAGGTTCAAGCTATTCTCCTGCCTCAGCCTCCCGAGTAGCTGGGATTACAGATGCATGCCACCACGCCTGGCTAATTTTCTGTATTTTTAGTAGAGATGGGCTTTCACCTTGTTAGCCGGGATGGTCTCCATCTCCTGACCTCATGATCCGCCCACCTCAGCCTCCCAAAGTGCTGGGATTATAGGCCCTGACTTTTCAATCCACATTCCTAGACTTTAGCTTTAGTTCTTAGCCTTTGGATGTGTATTTGTGCAGGGAGAGGGAACACACTGTCCCCAAACCCAATTCCCCAAATTTACCCCTCCTAGCCCACCCAAGGCCCTGAGGTTGAGAGGTGTGCTCCCAATAGCAGCACTGTGTATGACACAAAATCGGTATTTGCAAAGGGTCTTGAGAATGAAGCAAGGGAAGTCAGTGAAATAAACACAATAATCTTGGATCTCTATATCTGGCTGCAATTGACACCTCATTAGTTTGTCTGATAACTGCAATGCAACCTGCTGGGCTTTTTAACTTCCCAAGGCTGGGCAGAAGAAAGACAAAGTCTCTGGAATCAGAAAAGCAGTAGGTGTGAGTCTGGGATCTACTACTTAGCAGCTGGGTACTCTCGGATAAATGACGGAATTCCTCCTCCCTTTTATTAATAAAAGCATAATGATAGTTCCTATTTCATGTGGCCCTTAGGAGGATTAAGTGAAAATAAGATATCTAAAAATTTTCTACAGTGTCAGGCATGCGGTAAGCACTTAAAAAATGACAACTATTGTTATCATTTATTTCAGTTGTTCTCACCTCTCCAGAAAACAATTGGGAACGTCTTAATGTCTAAAACTGTACTTTCAGAGAAAGAGGGCATGCTGTCTCATCAATTATTCACACATATTCACACACACACAATCTCTCTCTCTCTCTCTTAATTGACCTTGTTTCGAGAATCCCTCCCCGGATGGTGGTCTTCCCTTCCCCTGGGGGAGTGGGGAGGGGGTGTAGGTGGCAACAGGGCCCACCCTTACCTTCAGAGGGGCGTCCCCGAGGCTGGGGCGGGGGCGGCAGCTCCTCCTTCCCACCAGGTCGTGACTGCTGAGGCCAAGTTCGGAAAGTAGGTGAGAAGCAGCGATCCCCGCCTCCTGACTACCGTGGAAAGTGAAAGAGAGGTGTGATTAAAAAGATAAGGCACCCAGAGAGGGTTACAAAAACAAAAACCAAAAAAGAAGAAGAAGGAAAGAAGTAGGAACAGAAAGAAGAATGTCAGGGGTTTGGCAGCTCCTGGTTGCTAAACCCGGCCAGTGGAGGCTGCAGGTGGGCGATGCCCGCGGTCGGGCAAAGCTCCGGGTCCCGGCGTGTCGCGGTCTGGGGCGCTCTCAGGCTGGGGCGCTCCCGGGCGTAGAGTCCTCCCTGACTTGGGGGTCCCGGTCTGGGGGCCCTCCGGTCGGGGTGCTCCTCGCAGCGATGCTCCAGGACCGCCTCCTCCACCCAGGCGCCACGCGTGGAGTTACCGGAGCTACTGGATCGCGGGGTCCAAAGGGCGCAGCTGGAAAACCCAGCGCCTCGCCCTTTCCCCTCGGACGGCGTGGGCCCCAGACGTCTGGCTCTTCCTCCCCAGCCGCGCGGCGCGGGTCCCGGGAAAATCAGGGCGGCAGCCGGGTGACCTGCAGGGCCGGAAGGTGGCGCGCCTGGGCCGCTCGCACGCACCCTGCAGGGCGCTGTTCACAGCAGAGTATCCGAGGAGGGAGGCCAAAGGGGAATGTGTGTTTCTAGATTTTTATTTTGTGGCAGAGCTGTTATTAAACAAAAGGAAAAGGAAAACCCATAGCCGACAGGCAAAAGGTTTAATGAGACAATGATTTTAATTCTTTTTACCCAATCAAGATAATTCACCAAAGAATAAACAAAAATATGTAGTTATCTCAATAAATGCAAATAAAAGCATCTGACAAAATTCAACACCCTTTTTGAATTAATAACGATTAGAAAACCGAGAGTAGAAATGGCCTTTCTTAATCTGATAAAGAACATCTATAAGAAACCTACAGGTAACTTCACATAATAGTGAAACATTTTGCGTTTTCCTAAGATTAGTGATGAGATAATGATTTTGGCTCCCACCTGGGACAACTGCTTTGCAACAAGTGGAGAAATAAAGATAAAATTAGAAGGCATAAAGACTGAGAAGAAAGAATTAAAACTACTGGTTTTAACAGAGAGCATAATTATATGTAGACCAACCTTTGAAATTTACAAAAGAAACTACTGGAAATACTGAGTTTATCAAGATCATAGAATATAAAAAAAATCATAGTAATTCTATATATTAGAGATGGAAACTTGAAAAGTGAAGTTTGTTAAAAATGCCATTTACCATAACATTTAAAAATCAAAATACCAAAGTATAAATTCATTGGATAACGTATGAGATATCTTCTGTGAAAACTACAAAATATTGCTAACAGAGATGAAACATCTAAGTAATAGAGGGATATGCCACGTTTATGGATTGGAAGACTTAAGACATCTATTCTCCACACCGTATATTTTTAGACTCTCTATATTACAGAGTCCATATACTTAATGCAATCCAATCCAAATCCCTGGAAAATTTTTCAAAGAAATTAAGAAGCTCTTTCTAAAATTTATATGAAAATGCAAATAATCTAGGATTGTCTGGACAGAGACAGAGTTTCACTCTTGTTGCCCAGGCTGGAGTAAGTGTAATGACACAATCTTGGCTCACTGCAACCTCCACCTCCCGGGTTCAAGTGATTCTCCTGCCTCAGCCTCCCAAGGAGCTGGGATTACAGGCATGCACCGCCACGTCCGCTTGCTTTCGTATTTTTAGTAGAGACGGGGTTTCTCCATGTTGGTCAGGCTGGTCTTGAACTCCATACCTCAGGTGATCTGCCCGTCTCGGCCTCCTAAAGTGTTGAAATTACAGGCGTGAGTCACGCGCCCGGCCTGTCCGGATAATCTTGACAAAAGCAAATTGAGAGACTTATACTGACTTGAGGGTTTATAATTAGGCAATAGTAATTACGACAATGTGATATTCGCAGAAACATACAATGCAAAACAGAAAGTAGACTAATAGACCCACACATACCTAGTCAATTGATTTTTTAACAATGCGCCATGTCAATTCAATGGGGAAAAAACAGTCTTTCACAAATGTTGCTGGAACAGCTGGGTACCTCTACAGAAGAAGCAGCAGCAGAAAAAAGAACCTCATCCTTACCTTGTTCTATATACAAGTATTAATTCACCATAGACCATGGACCTAAACATAAAAGCTAGAACCGTAAATATTTCATAAAAATACAGAGAAGACCCTTGGACAGGCAAAAAAAAAAAAATTCTTAGCTAGGACACAAAAAAACAATAGCCATTTGGGACAAATTGATTAATTGGATATCACCAAAATTAAAAATGTCTACTAAGCAATGACATCACTTAAAAATGAATACATAACCCTGGAAATATTCTCACTTTACGTCTATCTGGCAAAGAACAATACATAAATAATTCCTACACATCAACAATATAAAAAGAAATACAATTTAAATAAGGCAAAAGATTTTGCCTTCATTAAAAAAGATATACGAATAGCCAATGAAAACATGGAAAGGGCTCATCATCATTAGTCGGGGAACTTCAAGTTAAGACCATGGTGATATTCATCTAACACCTGTGAAAATTATTAAAATATAAAGAAACTTGACAACACCAGTTATTGATGAGACAATGAAGCAACAGAGCTCTCATACACAACTGGTGGGAATGTAAAGTAGTACAATTAGTTTGCAAAACAATGTATAAGTTTCCCTGAAAGTTAAATATGCACCTACCAAATGACCACCCTTAAGGGTCAACCAAAAAGAAATAAAAACATAAGTCCACAAGTATGTTCATAGGAGCCATATTCATAATAGCAATAAACAGGAAACAATTCACATATTCATCAACAGGAAATACAAAGGAACAAACTACTGAATCATGCAAAACATGGATGACTCTTAAAAGTATTGTTGAGTAGAAGCAGCCAGACCCAAAGAAATATGACTTTACTGATACGAATATAAAGATACAACAAAACGAATCCGTGGAGTTAGAAATCAAAACAGTGCTTGCCTGGTAGCACGGTGGAACTTTCTGGGGTGATGGAAATATATCTGGGATGATAATTACACAGGTATGTTCAACAGTCAGAAATCATCAAACTGAACACTTAGGATCAATGTTTTATTGTATGCTACGCAAACTTGATTCAATTCAAAATAATTGATTTTTTTTTCTTACAATCACAGTCATTTTCACCATGATTGTGTGGCAGATTGTAAGATTTTTTTTCTTACAATCACAGTCATTTTCACCATGATTGTGTGGCAGACATTGAACAAGTTTTGGCTACATTTGTTTTATTCACACTATCTTGTATGGCAGAAGTATGTATTACCGTCACGGTACAGAGGAGGAAATAAGAGAGGTCAGTGGTGGTGCTGGTGTGAGAATCCAGGTCTTCTGGCAGTTTCCTGACCTCATTATGAGTGCACACCCTGAATCATGAGCCACTGCCGCTGAGAAAACCCTTGGGGTTCACCTTCTCCATCCTCCTATTTTTCAGTTGCAGAAACTGAGCCCCAGGGAGCTCAGGTGACTTGGGAAGTGATGTGTAAGTTCAGGAAAAGGACAGTGGAGAAAAGAACTCAGCAACTTCAGAGTTTTCCCCAGGCCAGCCCTATCTGAGGCCTCTGGAGTGCTTCTCTCTTCCCCTGCGCATTTTCACAATTCCTCTACACCCCATCAGGGTTAGCAAGGAGTGTGCCTTCCTGGGCTATATACATGGCTCCCATCACACCTTCCTTCTCATCCCTCCCAGAGAGGCACTCAGCACACATTCAGAAAATGTAAACGTTGAATACTTGCAAAGGAGCTTATAATATAGATGGTTAAATCATATTTTAAAATAAGAAATATGGGGGCAAACTAAAAACAAAGGTATTAGGGAGCCAAGAAAGAGATCGTTACAAAATCCGTGTAATGATGTCCTATATGCCTGCTGTAGAAAAATCTCAAATTTAACTCTGTGTTTTCAAGTAGCTAATGTGAAGAGGAAAACAAATCAATTCCAAAATTTCCTGGGTCCATAAATCAAAACCACACTTGTCATTCTAGGTGGATGCGAGAGTAAAGACACATCCACTCCTGAGAGAGAGACTGGGGAGAATCTATTCTTTAGTGGTCCTCATTGAGAGAAGTCGGACAATAGAATTAATATGAAAAGAAATACAGTAAAGTTTTGTGATAATAACTATTGCCATTTATTGAATTCTTACTCTGGCCTACAGATTTTTTAAACATTTGATTAGCACAGAAATCCAAAGGGTTTTATATTATCATAGTTATTTTACCTACGGAAACTAAGCTTTGGAGAAGTTCAGTACTTTGCTGAAGATCACACAGCTGCTAGGCCTACAGAGGATGGCTTGTTGATTCCAAATACTATGATAGTTAGCCATACAATACCCTTTTCATTGACCAATATTTTAGTAATTCAACAAAACCAAATGGTAATCTACAGAAGTAAGGTAGCCAGATTTAGCAAATAAAACTACAAGATCCCCAGCCAAAACTGAGTTTGAGGTCTTCAGATGAAAGTTCATTGTCTGAATTCAACCTCAACAGGTGTCCTGATATTTGTTTGTTTGTTTGTTGTTTTTTTTTTTTGGACGGAGTCTCGCTCTGTCGCCCAGGCTGGAGGGCAATGGCGCAATCTCTGCTTACTGCAAGCTCCGCCTCTCGGGTTCACGCCATTCTCCTGCCTCAGCCTCCCGAGTAGCTGGGACTACAGGCACCCGCCACCACACCCAGCTAATTTTTTTTTTGTATTTTTAGCAGAGATGGGGTTTCACCCTGTTAGCCAGGATGGTCTCGATCTCCTGACCTCGTGATCTGCCCGCTTCGGCCTCCCAAAGTGCTGGGATTACTGGCGTGTCCTGATATTTTAATACAGATTTCCTGTATTTGATCTGGCAACCCAATCTGGGGGTACAGATTAAAGGTATAGGTACCTAGACAAATGAGTAACCATAAGGAATCTTCTAGAGATATGATTTCTCTTAGTATGGATTCTGAAAGGTATTGAATGACAATGAGTTCAAGATGATGTTGTCTGTCAACAGTCCAGAGTTCAGTTTTCTCTTGCCAGTGAAATACAGAATCATATACATTATTAAGCAGTTCAACTGAGATAAGCGCTCCATCCACTTACAAAATTTGAAGCACCAACAGGATTCCTATCTGAGGGGACACTCGCGGTAGCTCTGGATCCAGTCCTGGAACCCCCAACGGTGTGTGCTTTCCTTCAGTGCTCTGAGTAAAGTGGCCCTGACTGTAAATTAACTCTATTTTGCCAAAACGGTTTTCTCAAAATGCCCTACTACCTTCATAGAAATGTTACAACAAAATGGTCTCAAATTTGAAAAACATTTTAAAAATAGGATTGTTGCAGAATTTACCAGGGTAGATATTTAAGTTGCATCCATGTAGTACAACTGGGAGATGGAACACTATGAATATTTTTAAATGTTTTAAAACGTTTCAGTGACATGCCACGTTTTTATTAT